TATTTTACTCCCTTAATTTAATCACCAAAACCATGATAATATCTACATTTATATCGATTTTTCTTTAATGTTAACCGTACATCGCACTAAATGCACTTCTCTGTTGCAATATTTAAGGCACTTAAACGAGCCTCGCTTCGTGCACGATTGTACGAAAATATTGATTAGCAATCGATAACTTAAACGTTTGCTCAAGACCGCATTATTTTTATGGACTCGGCTTATTCTTTACAAGTGGCAACAAACTTTCCCTAATTAATTTCCGATTACGAGCATTTGCACAGCCTTTGCCAGAGTCAGTGATGCGGGTGGGGCAAATATTCGATCCCACGACACACGCGTTACACGTGCCGTAACAATGAAACGAATGTTAAGATGACGCGAGCAGGGAGTGGGGGCATTCGACGAAGAAAGCTGAAAGCTTCGTTTAAAAACAAAAACAGAAGGATGAGTTGGAAAATTCAGGTCAGACGCATAACTGGCTCTAGCTCTTACAATTCACGACTCCAACTCGCATAATCGAACGATTGGTCACTGTACCTCGCAATCCAAACTTTTCATAATGATCCATAGGGCTTACAAGCAGACTCCTAAGCTTATCATTAATCATCTCCGATGAACGTGAGCATTAGTTTTGTCTTGGTTCCTATGGCACTAGGTCAAGCTAACGCTTCGTCTTCCTTATGTGCTCTCTGCATTTCTCACATTCTTTCCTCGGCAAACTTCATTTAATTTACTTACTCCCTTCGATGCTCCCCGGGGTATCTTAAATCTTTCAATGGCTTTGTACTTCTGGCCAAACGATATGCTGGATCGATGCGATCTTAATACCGATCAACCAATCGCAGATATTAATTTACATTTATAATAATTATTAATCAATTGGCAAAGCGTTACATTTATTAGTGATTCTTTGACGTTTAAGTATTACTTTGTAATTATTTTGCAATTATTTCGCAATCCATAACAAATATTATTACGTTATATTTATTTCGAATTTAGAATTTTTCAACTATTTAATATGGCAGAATTATAATAACCTTTGCAAGTATTTTAAAGCTTATATTACTTGTAAGGATTGCTTTTAAATTTTTAACCAATTTTAATATTTTCTTCAATTACTTATTACAGCTTTATAGTAAATTCAAATAATTGCTTTAATACTTTTTGTATGATAAAAAACATCATCGTAATCCCAACATCGATTTAATAAAATTACACACAATTAATTTAATTTATTCTTATTATTTATTATTATTTCATAAAATTATAAAACATAGTGGCGAACAAAGGAAGCATTATACCTGCTTTCAATATATTAATATTTATTAATTAACATCTTATAACATTTTATAATTAAAATAAAACATAAAATATGGATAATAAGATTGAATATCGTAAAGATTAAGAAAAGTCACTATGAGCAGTAAGTACAAAAATTTTAATTTCCTAACTTGAAATAAAAGAGAAACATTTTAATATGTTTACTTCCTAATTGTTGTTACGGCTTTATATTTCCGTAAATTAGCGCAATTGCTTTCTACATCTTCGGGCTGCTTCTATCCTATAATTTAAGTGTTCGCTGCAATTCATCCACCGAAATCTAATTGTATAGGGTGAGTCCATGACGCATTAAGTACTCGCTCCTACATTTTTATCTTTCGGAAGCCTTTAATATTAATTACGGGGCAAGCAGGATTTGAACTGTGCCTTTTTGTCAGATGTTTGCAGCCTTCTATTCCATTCTTTTCTCCCTGTATCTCTCTCTCTCTCTCTCTCACTCTCTTGATCTCTTATGCATGATGAAAGTATTTTACTTTTTGGGTTGATGATCGGTAATATCCATGTCCTTTTATCGATATTTTAGCCATTAAGTCTTAAACTTTTTAGATAAAAATCTCTATTTAATTGAAGTCTTTACTGTATGTTTTTTTTTTTTACTCTACTTCAACAATTTCCTACCAAAGATGTATACAAACAACATATCGGATAAATTGATGTCTTTGTTAATCAAACTAGCAATGATTATAGATTTCAGTAAACAAAACAAAACAAAATATTACAGTTTATCACAGATTTTATTAGACTTTTTTCTACTACATTATTGCGATTATAACTTCTCAACGAAAGATGGCATAAGATAAAGACTTTATTTTTCAAACTTATTTATGAGACCCTTATGACTCAAGAAATCAACTACAGTGTTAACTAAATAATGAACTAAATACTAAAACAATATACACATCGGCTTAAAAATATCAAACTACGTACAACTTCTTTCAATTATCGCGGAAACATAAGCGCATGCATTTGTTATATTCTCAGATGAACATAGAATCAACCAGATTTACACAATGTACGATGAAATTAATAATATAAAAATACTTTAAAAACATAATATGAATGGATTCGTTACAAAAAATACATAAAAAATTATAATTATGAAATCAACATACTTCGATTTGCCATTTGCTTCATTCTTTAAGATGATTATTTTATCGCATCGCTTTATCCTTTACAAAATCGAAACAAATACAGTTTATTTATTTTTTACTCGTAAAAATTTCAACACTTTTCGTAAAAAACAATTGATGAATTATTTCAAATAATCCAACACAAATACAAATCAATGCTTACATCTAATTGTCGGGAAATACGTAAAAAAAAAAAAAAAAAAAAAAAAAAAAAAAAAAACTATAGAAAACATTTTATTAGCCTCATACCTTTGTTACGCAGTTATTTGAAAAGATACTAACTGTTTATTTAGGGTGTCATAAACTTTCACCAAGAAATATGATATAAAAAGAGAAGCGTATGCGAAAACTACATAGAATGCAGTTTTAGTATCTTAGTAAATGTCTCTCCAAGCTTAAAACAATGTCATTTAAAACATATTCTAAATTCTATGTTACTTATTATTTATTTCAAAACTTTATCTTTTTAAAAAAAATACATGTTGTATATTATTTAAGTTTTTCCACTTAAATTGAGCAGTTTTTTTTTTTTTTTTGGAAAATTTCAACAAAAAACCCATTGATTATTAGATTAGATTTCTCTCTAAAATTTCTTCACATTTTTCTACGAAATATAGATTTCTCTCGATAGGAAAATTTTATATTGGTTTATATACTCTTCTAGCTTATGCCTGCCTAAGTTTAATTTTTTTATAGTAATTTGGTATAAAGATAAGGCTGATATAATAATTTCTATATAAGATAAAAGTGATCGATGCTAAAATTTCACTTATATTTTTAATTTATTCTATACATTTATTCAAATATTTCTATTTTCTTTTCTTGTTCATTTTTTTTTTTTTTTTTTTTTCCATCAAGCTTCTAAATGCAAATTTGATTCTTATTTATAAACAGTACTGTGATCCGGAGACTCGGTAGAAAGCTAATTACGCTTCATTTCACAAGAGGGCATCTCAAAAAATTGAAACGACAAGAAAAAATGTGAAAGGGAATGTTAATTTCCATTGCAAAAAAAGCTTTCTGACCGCTTTCCAGCTGCATTTGTCGTACTGCTAATTAAAAGTAATCAACTATATACATACTCGCTGTTAAACTTTAGTTTTCCAAGTGACGTTATAATAATAATTATATATATATATAATCAGCAATCACTAATTAGTAATAGATTATTATTATTTAATTATAAAATTAATTTTTCCTCTATTATAACAAATGATACAAAGTGTATAAAATAATTATATTCATATTACTTTATCTTAATATAACTTCTAAAATATTCTCATATAAATTAAACAAACAAAAAAAACAAAAAAAAACTTTATTTATTTAATATACTATACTATTTACTATATTTTTCAATTATGTTTAAGAATTTAAAAATAATAGACGAATAGCGTATTGTGAAATTAAACTAGAAATTTGCAATTTTATGTATGAAACAATTTTTAGAAAAAATTTAAATCGTTCTAGCGACTTTTATGAAATTAATCTTGAGAATAAATTTTTCTTTTTATATTTTACGTAAAAAATTTTCTTTTCCACTACTTGCTACCTTTCAGAAATTTTGTCGAACTTTCAATATAATGTAAACAAAAAAGAAAAAAGCTTATTACCAAACAGCTAATAAAATCATTAAAGCAGAACTATTTTTATTATTTATATTTGCATAAATACTAATGACGTTTTCACTATTTTATTGTCATACTGGAATATATTGCGAAAATTAATGCAACTACGAAATAACTACATCTATACTTTCACTTTCAGCAAAGTATATAACTGGATTAGCTTATGTACTTTACATGATCGCAGATCATTCGATAAATTTGTCTATTATTTACAAAACGAAACTCCTTTTTAATAATTTTCATTATACTTATTCAATAAATACATATTGGAGTTTATATTAATATATATGGGCGATAAATATAATTCGCATATTTGTGTCAGCTAACACTATGTTATTGATTCGAAAGGCGATCGGAGATATTGAAATTTCTTGTAAACTCGCCAGACCATTCATTTAAAGATAATAATTGAAAGTTCCGATTAATATTCGATGAATGAAAATTAAATTAATCTCTTCATTGTAATTAAAAAATTCATTGTAATTAAAAAGCACGGCAACTAATTAAACAAAATTTATGTTTCAATTCTGGACGTTAAGACTAATGCAGAAATCGAAAAGATTAAAAGAATCTTGAAATTTATAAAGTAGATATACCGTAATATCCACGTAATATCCCAATAAAAAGAGAACTTTCCCCTATCATTGCAGCGAAAAAAATTCTAAAATTAAATATAATAATAACTAAAATTATGACGTCATGCGAAGAGTCGTCGGAACGAAGGGAAAACAACAATGATTCGCGTACGTCGCTTGCGCAGCTAATAATTCTCTTTGGCCACACTCACCGGACTAAATCCGAGATTCGAGCAACGTCATTTATTAATCAACTGGCCCCCGTCACCCACCAATTACCTATCGCAATATTATATAACGCCAGACTGTTATTTCGATTGCAGGTACTTGGGCGTGGAGCCAAGGATAATAAGCCATGGGGGTCACGACGTTGGCGTCGACGTGCCAACGCAAATCGGAGCCGGAGTAATGGGCCCGGCGAGCGCCGAGAGGAACTGCAAGAACTCCCACCTGACTAGTAAGCAGCAAGTGATCTGCGTGAGATCGCCGCCGGTTCTTCAGGTAAGACACGAGCCTTACCGAGACTCCGAGACTCCGAGACTCCGAGACTCCGAGACTCCGAGGCTCCGAGGCTCCGAGACTCCCGGCTAAACCCCGTGCTCGCCATTGTCTTTTATCGCTGAGGCATTCCACTCGATTAGCTGTAAATACAGGCTTGGGCTTATCTGCTCTTGGCGCCCCGAGGTCCCGGCCTTATTTTATTATCAGAAAATAAGTGGTCAGTGGCAAAAATCCCTGAAACGGGCATTAATACGCTGGCGGTCGTAGTGACTGTAAGTTACTTTCATTGGGCTTTTGTTGAGGAACGATGAGGTGAGGAGGAGAGTCAATTAGTTCAAGTATTAATTTATATAATGTCTTATCGTGCATGAATTTTTTAAGAATATTTCAAGCTTAAATTGAGATAAAAGGGGAGAAGGTTTAAGAACGAATCATAATGGGCTATGATTTTTGCAAGCTTTTCTCTCGTTACGAGCATTAACTCGCAAACCATTGACTTGTAAACGACGCGACTGTAATTATATCAGGACGAATTAATCTAGACAAATGAAACCGAGACAAATAACCGATTGAAGATTCATTAGTCAAACACAATTGATAGGGTAATTGTAATGAAGCAAACAAGCAGCATATGGAGATTATTAAATAGGTACATTATGGAGATAATTATTGCAATACATGCAATACAATAACTATTGGTTAGTAAGAGTTTGTAAAATATGAAACTTACGTCCGCTGATTGAGCTTGAATAAATAATTACTTAGAAAAAAGAAAAAAAAAATTTCTCTATAATTATTATATTTATTTTTAACATGAGTATGAAAATATTTTTAGTTTTTTAACGATATGAATCAATGTGTTTAAAAATGTTGGATATGTTTAACAGGAAAATTAAACTTAAATTCTCTCATTACTGTCCAGTGATAGAAGACTCCAAGTTGTAGATTGGATGCGAGCTCGATAAACAATGCTAATATTTCAAAATTAAATTCCTTTTCAATTTTTAATTTCAACTCAAGTTATATTTTCAATAATTTCAACTCTGAATTATATTCTGTAATATTAAAGACATATGAATTCGGAATTATATATTGATGACGAGTTTTGGGCACAAATAATTTCGTAGCTTCTTTAAAAATAGAAAAGTTTAAACGAAACGAGTCGAGATTACCAAATCCATATTATATTTGCATATAAATTAGTGCTAGTCAACACTCCCTTTTCTCAAACATTCCAATAATTTCCATAGCTTTATGGTTGTAATAAAAACTTTCGTACCTTTGACATATAAATAAAATTAATCTAAAATGATTCGTAATTACAGGATATACGTCTACTTTAATTTATTATCTCTTTCTAATAAATTGATCACATGCTTGTGATTAATCGTTAAAAAGAAAAAGAAAGAAAAAAATAATCATAAATAAATAAATAAATGATTTATTATATCCGATGATTAGCAAGCTAATTTCATCCAAAGTTCTATTATAATTCCAAATATGTGTTTCAAGTGTCGAATAAAAAGCTTATTTGTTTTTATTGATCTTATTTATAAATGCATATTCAATAATTAACAGAGAAAGAATAAAAGAACAGCTTAAAGTATGCGATAAAACTTGAAGAGTACGGTGAAGTACTTGAAATTATTGTATATTCGTCAGTCCAGTTTCGAGCGCAATAAAATCAAAAATTCACATTTTTAGTTCTTAGTAGTGCCCTATAAATAGTACAGGGTTTCATAAAAATTTATTGCAATTATTCCGTAAAATCTAAAGCAACGTTTTTCAATCTTGTCCTAAATGATAAATATTGAGTGCAAATATACATTAATTAAGTATACATTAATTAAATATACATTTATTAAAATTCTTTCGGCTTTATTACGGTAAACGATTCAAAGCTTCGAGTCAATTCGAGTCAAATAGTTCTCGATTGTTTCTCGAATAAATCAAGCCGGCAACTCACGATTGTTATCCTGGCAAACGTGGAATTTTAACGGAACAATAACTTTTATTGGCTTACAGAATTATTATTTAACAATACAGATATCACAATGCAATATACCAATAATACTACTAGAAATAATAAATTCGCTAAATGTCTGCATCCTTATTAGCGAAAACTGCCGGGAGTGCGCCCTCCCTCTCGACTTCTACAATTATCATAATGCTTACTACTCCTTGTAAATGAATATTATCAATAATCCGCAACATTACGCAGCGGCATTGGCTAAGTTTTCAGCGTCGGTGATGAATGTCGGTATGACGCGTTAAAGCCCTCGAATTCATTTTCCCGCTGCATCAGCCAACTAATGCAGTTAAGGAAAATCGTTTTGCCAGCTACAAGAGACGGTTAGCCCTTAAGCCCCGTTGTCAGAGCTTGAAAAACGTCTAGTTCTTCTTTGGCCGGGATCTTTTTGGCTCACTGGGGAACGAGGGGATCTCCTGTCGTAGCCATTCCTAGCCCACATTTTCCACTTACCTTTCGCCGACTGGCCTTACTGTCCGAATTTTCATTCGCTTTCTTTCGCTAAATTTTACAGACCATCTATCGCAGGTACTGAAAAATCCAACCCTACCTTCCCACTTCCATTCACTCGCTACACTTTTAATCCAGACTGATCGCTGCATTATTTACGTCGAAAAATGATCTAATCTAAGAATCTAATCATTCAAAGCTTACCTTCTAACTCCTTGCAATTCCTAGTCAGACGAGAGTTATTAATAGCAGACTACAAATGATAGTTTCTCATTGTATACCTTAAATTTTTTTTAAATTGTCAGATTAAGTAACCGACGTAACGTATAATTTAATATTTCTCACATATTTTCTACTACATGCGAATACATTATCGTAAAATTGCATTGTTAAAAGTAGAAACAATCGATTTTCGCTTATTAATATAATACTGTCTACTGAAAAGACGAGTAATGAAAATTTCTAACTTTATTTACAAGTATTATTTTCGTGAAGATTATATGTATATATTTTATTGTTTATTATTATTATATCTTAATATATAAGTAATGTTAATTTTTCATGCGTTTCAGACATTATGAATAAACTAAATTTTACATATTTCTAAAGGACGTAATTGCATAATAAATAAATTTAAAAGGTTGCACTACATTAGAATTATCGGTTAATCTCACTGTCAATTTCAGTCATCAATTTATTTAATTCGGAATACACGCTCGTCCAACAATACAAGAAAAATGTTTAAACTTGATGTAAAATGAGCAATAAGAATACATTAAAATCATTATAGTCACTTCTGAATTTGCATTGGACGAAATTAATTTATAAATTGTAACGATTCGTCGTACTTATAGGTCGTTAAAATTCCAATTGCTCAATAATAAAATATTTCTAAATAATAATAAAAAAAGAAAAAAAAAATAATATTGAAACATTAACGTTTTACTTTATGCAAGCATTAAATTAATAAACATTTCATTATGCAATAGTATATAATTGCTTTTATATATTCTTTATACATCTGTGAAAGGGCTTGAGTATAGATTCTGTGTATAATGTTGTGAATTTTTTGTTATTTTTAAATACTTGTAGAAAAAATATTTATATATATATTACTAAATATTTTGAATGAAATAACTATTGGTATTGTAGATATTTATAAATAATTATTAAAAATGAATATCAAAATATTTTTAATTTTTGCAAAAGATTTTTTATTTCTAAATACGTATTTTATGTATGTAGAGTTATTAGTTTATTATGATTAACTATTATTAAATATCCAGTTTTCTTTTCATACCTACGTGAATAGATGAATGTATTGGTTGCGTCACGTCATAAAAGTTCCTAATAGTATTATTGTTGAAACACTACAATTTTGTCTTTGTTCAATAATCATCCGTGCTATTTTATTGTTTATTTAAAATGTTTAATAATAACGATTGGTAGATACACGACAATACAATTGCACGATTGAGTATTCTTAAAAGCATATTACATAGTATTTAAAAAAAAAAAAAATAATAAAAATATCAATTTACAATAAAATAATTAATACCATCGTCGATTAAGCCTCGTATATGTAGTATTATGTTTCATTGATAAATCATTACCGATTTATTTATCATTTTAGAAAATTTCAGGTTTCATTTAATTGAAAAAATAACGAATTCCTTAGAATTAAACGGCAAAGAGAAATAAGATCCGAACGAGAATTAAGAAGTTTTTAAGTGAAATTCGTAGAAGCGCTCAGCAAGCATTGGATATTTTATAGGAAATATGTTTCTAGAACGATTACCAAAAAATCAATTAGCTACCTACAGTCGGCTTTAGTGACTTCAGACGCAGCCGTATCCAGATAATGTTTTTCCGTGTCCCCTGATTCTACGAAACAAAATGTTAATATGCCACAGCTAGCCGGAGATACTTGCGAGTTTCGAGCAAAATCCAGTATCTTTAAGAAACGGAAGCCGCAAATGACCCATAAAACTCGCAACTCTAAAATATTTGAGTGAAGAGCAGGAGCGATTCTATTGGAGGGCCATTCTGCCTTTTGGGATTGACGTTAGATCTGTTGCGACGATGTTAACGGGAACGTTAAGCCATGAAAATCCGTCCGAGGGAAAAGTCGAAAGAAGAAAAAAAACAGAATAAATGCTTTTCATGACGAAACTAAGTTAACCTTGATGTCGAATGGCCCTTGTAGTTAAAAGTGAATAAAATTTTACTGGCTTGTTTCCTTTTCATTTTATTGGTAAAGCTAGTATTATTATAAAATATTATAATGAGATAATTTCAGCATGATAGCTTATACGTTTTGTAAATATTTAATTAAAAATAAAAGCGCCGGAAACATTGTAACGGAATAGAAAGTTTAAAAATTTATAAGATCATTTTTATGATATATCGGTGTAATATATTGTTCGTTATTGTTCGTTATTGTTCGTTATTGTCGTCGTCGTCGTTGTTGTTATTATTATTATTATTATTAATGTTATTGTTATTGTTAATTGAGAATTTTACGTCCTATCGTGGGCATTAAAATCTCTGTGACAATGTGCCAAGTATCAATAATTTGCTTAGTAGCAAAATAATATTTATATATTTTATTTTTAGCGTAGCTTGATACTTGTAAGATATGTTCGTATGCGACGGCTTTATTACTTTAATATCGATACATAATATCGTTTCGTAAAACGTAATATTCTGTCGTAATAACTAAAAATAAAATACTTTAGCCGCTACGTTGCTTAATTTCTTTTCCGACTATCAAACATTAAAATTATCAGGATTATTCTATTTTTATAGTTTTAACATACTATTTATACTCACATTATTATTCCATTCTCGTAAAAATCAAAGTCTTTGTATTATTTTGAAATTCTATATAATTGACGACAGCCATTTATGGATTATCGATTGTCCTTAATCAGAGGCGATTAAAAAATCGATTATAACATTATCTTGATGAGAATATAATTTTTTATCTTTATAATATAAAAAATGACATAATAAATGATGTTTTGCAGGCAATCGGTGCAGGGGCAAGATTAGCTATTGAAGAATGTCAACATCAATTTAAATCCGCGCGATGGAACTGCACGATAAATCCGGATAATGCTGATAATGTTTTCGGTGGTGTTATGCACGTCAGTAAGTAAAGTTTTACAATCAGTTTCTCGCTTCAATGCAGCTTCAGTTGACAATATCTTTCTCTAGAGCTTTCCTTTTCTTTAATAATCACTTACAATTTTTTACTTTAAATCCATGATATTGCAATGGCTATGTAGGATCTGGTAATCGTTCCTTTAATGCCCAATTTATTTAATAGCTGAAATTAAGACGAAATTGCCGTGTAACATGGCAAAACAAAATTATTGCCCCAGTAAAATAATAAATTGACAAAAAGTGCTTATCCTCGTGGATGTTACGAGACGGTAAGTAGGGAGACTATTTGCTTAATCGAACGTTCGACAGCTCAATTCGCGCAAATGTCACTGTGCGAAAGAAATATTTGTAAAAGTGGCAAGCGATGGGAACAAGTCCAAATGCTACTTAAATCAGCCGACTATTCGTAATTTTAAAATACAAAAATTTCAATTTACCATTCAGCAAAATCAATAATCCAACCGAGCTCCCACCACTTTTTGCAAACGCGCTACGTTAATTTCTTCAATCCACTCGCTGATCCACTCCTCCAAGACAATAATGCCCTCGCTCCCATTAACGATGTAACGCATAACGAGGTCACGCATGTTCACAGACAGCCGGGAGGCCGCGTTCGTATACGCCGTTTCGGCCGCAGGAGTCGCCTATAGCGTAACGCGCGCCTGCTCCAGGGGCGAACTCACCGACTGCTCCTGCGACAACCGCGTCAGGACGAGGCAGCACTCGAGCAACTGGCAGTGGGGCGGATGCAGCGAGGTAACAGACAACGCGCCCGAGCCTTGGTATCCCAATCTCCTCGAAGCCTTTCAGAAATTTCGGGTGCTCCCCTTGTTAGTGTACGTGTCATCGCGCTCTCTCTCTCTCTCTCTCTCTCTCTCTCTCTCTCTCTCTCTCTCTCTCTCACCCCAAGCCGGCTTAATTATTATCGCATTGTTGTATTACCATTTGATTCAATTGGTATGGAATTAGGTAAGGGCCAGCCATTTAAATAGTACGCGAGTCGATGCATGCAAAATTTATAACGAAGCCCTTAAAATAAACATCGCAGTTTTTATGCGCATTGTTCATGTATTATAAGAAGGATTTGCGCTTGGAGCATTTTTGTAATATAACAGTAAAAATATATTGTTTATTATAAAAATATCTGAAATTCGACATAAAGTAAATACTTAAAAAATAAATAAATAAAATCATCGTTTCGAATTTAATACTCCGATTCTTATCTTCTAATTTATCAGAGATAATCGCTTAAAGCTAAGACTTTTCATTAATCTTTGTCTACATCCTGGATCATACAATGAAAAATATATAAAACGTCTTGTGATAAATAATACTTTGGTAATAAATTTTCACGGTAGTGTCCAATTATTATAAAAGTTTTATATTCTTACAAAATACATACAAATATATAAATTTTATAAGGGGCGGGAGGGGAGGGAATTAAAAAATATGTTTGAAAAATAGAGAAAGTAAATGAAATGAAAGACATTTAGCCATGGCCTAATAATTTTACTCGGTTAAATAGAAAAGCACAGCAACATCGTTATTATTTCTCATAAGACGCTCGCAACTTTTCTTCTTAGGGAGATTAAAGAATGACGTTTAATTAGGATTTAAATTGCAATGGGCCACGATAGAAAACGACTAAAATACAACTTCATTATAAACAAAGAAACAAAATGAAATTAAAAGAAAAGGAAAAGGAAAATTCAGCCGAATCTTGAGCAATGCAAGTAAAGAAGAGCCACCGTCACAACAATGACTCACCCTTGTTAAAAAAGACAAAGTCACACGACACGAAGACTTACCACTGAGACGATTTCCCCTTTATCTGTTTAGCATCGAAAGCTCACCCAGAAGGCCGCAAAACTCGCATGCGGTTTTCTTTTCTGTTTGTCTGTCTGTCTGTCTGTCTGTCTGTCTGTCTGTCTGTCTGTCTGTCTGTCTGTCTGTCTGTCTGTCTGTCTGTCTGTCTGTCTGTCTGTCTGTCTGTCTGTCTTCTTTTGTGAATCGCCCTGCTAGTTGGGCTGTTCTGTCATGTCACACAGTGATTGCAAGCACACAATACACGCGCGGTATTATTCCAAAAGTTCTAAAGGACATGGGACGATTCGACAGTACGAAGCAGAAAAGACTATTCTTAATGTTCGCTGACTGGTCGTGAATTATTAAAGACTGCCAATACATCTTAACCAATCCAAGCTTTTAGCTTGATTGATAGACGAGTGCTACACCTTCTCTCTTACTTTTCCCGCAGCGTTTTCTAATTATCTGAGCTAGCATTCTTTGCCCTTCTTATCGAAAAAAATAATCGACCGAAATAATAAGAGCAGCATATGCTTGGATCCCATGCGTTTTAAGAACGTAATTGTTTCGTAAAAATTATTTGATTAATGTCAGTGGATATTGTCTTGTAGGCGATAGACATTAGGCAAAGAGTTTCATATTTAATTCGAGAGAAAAAGGAGATTTATTAAGTAAAATTGTGCTTTACGATATTCATTCCCTAGAGCACTATATATAATACAAATGACCTTCTAACAAGTGTATTTCATCTAATATAATTGAATGGATACAAATAATCTGTTTGGATTTATTATATGAATCGACCTATTGGATTGCACCACTGTTTCTCCACTTATGAATTAATAATTATTCAAACGTTTATCGCGCCAATTTCCATCGCATCGCGCAGCTTAGATTTATAAATAATATTGCCAGTATACAAAATCTATCATAATTATCTAAATAAATGCAGATTGAATTGTAAATCGAAGCACAATGCGCATCTAAATATAATGTATTAAAATTGTAATTTTATTAGAATCGTCTCGGGCTACATAAGAGCTAAAAAAATATTTATTTCACAGCTGATAATTGTATGAAACGTATTTTCATCTTCTTATTAATTTTTAAATCCTCGCTAATGAAAATCATTATGCAGATTTATTATGAAATATGCACAAGAGAATCCAATATTCAATTCTCTGCTGCTTTCTAATAAAATATGTAAATACAATGAAGGTATTTAGCGTAAAAGTATTAATGAAGTAATAGTGTAATAAGGGAAAAATGTACGATGCTGACTTCTGAATCTAGTGCACGAGATATCTGACGTGCGGTTATACTATTAAAAAGATGATATGCCCACGAAACAAAAGACTTGAGCCTTAACAAAAACAGTAATGGAAGCCGCAATACGAGGACAAATTACCTTGGGGTCGAATGGAGAAGGAGAAGAAGAAAAAGAAGAAGACGAAGAAGGAATCAGAAGGGTGAGATCGTTCGATCGTCTACTATTGTGTAATAATGGGCTTTGGCTGTCGACACTCGTCAGGGTCTCTCTCTCTCACTCTCTCTCTCTCACTCTCACTCTCACTCTCGTTTGTTCTGTGCGGGGTAATCGGAGGGTTGTCGTAACTTAACAAGCTTAGTCGCCTTAATCTTCTTGTAAGCTTGCGATGTCTACAAAGGGTCACCTGTTCACGCGAAATGCATCCGTTTTGCTCACTTCCTCGCTCACTGCTCATAGATATTTTTTTTTTTATTTTTTTTCTGTTTTTTTTTTTTTTTTTTTTTTTTTTTTTTTTTTTTTTTTTTTTTTTTTGTCCATTCTTCCTGTATTATACATTATTGTCAAAGAAACAAGCCCAACTATAATGTTAATGTCATAAGTTAACATCTGGAAATATACAAAATTATTAAAGCTGTTACAATCTCTGTATTCAAATCATATTGTAATTATAAAATCGGTAATATTAAACTAATATAACTTTTCAATAAACAAGAAATAATTAATTGGAAATTGAAATTGTTTTAACGTATTTTTCATGAAATTGTAATGTAGATGTAATTTTGTTTAATGCTCACGTAACTAACGAGGACATCGATTAACGCATAACATTAAAGCATAACGTTTAATTAAAGAATTTTCTTGATTTATACTATTAGTTCAATTTCTTCATAATCTTATTATTATTCTTTTTAAAAGTAAATAAACTTTTAAGTTCCAATCAATATTTAATAAATAAAAAATTATGATTTAGGAACTTAATACCATATTATTATTATTTTCTGCATTCAAAGATTTGTAGTGTCTTTTTTTTTTTTTTTTTTTTTTTTTTTTTTTTTTTTAGTTTTTTTTTTTTAATATTACTGATTTATTATATAATTTAAGATGAGCATATTTATATTTCATGAAACAGTAAGCGCGAAGCCAGTAAATGTTCTAAATCATTTATCATTAGAAAAGTATAAAATACAAATGAAATGCATGTACAGCTCAACTAATAAGATAATTGTTATTTGCATTATCACTTAAAATTTCACTCTAAAAATGTTGATTATATGTAAAGAGTAAAGGAAGCAAATTACTACTTAAAAATTGTAACATGCAGTTATTGTTAAATACAAACTAATTCTTAAGTTCAATAAACGTCGGAATATTCAAGTAAATGAATGAATTACAAAATTAAATAAATTATTTACTTATTTAAGTAATTATTCGGTTAAACAATATTAAAAATAAATAATCATATTAATAATGAATTTAATATGCATTGGTAATGAGTAACATGCGCAAGAATAATAGACAACATTGTGCTCACGTGTCGCAGCTTCAAATGAAATAGGACTGCGCGACTATTTGGATAATATCAAGTATTTGCATATATTAAATTAATCTGCAATTCCAATTTAATAGTATATATTATTATGTATTATATTGATAAATTACATTAACTTTTAAGCATTTATAGATTATAGTTATAGAGATAATAAATTTAGGTGAATTTTGTGTTACGTGAATATTACATTATTAATGCTAATAAGCATAAAGAAATTAATTTCATATTGTAAAGCTTTGTAATGTTCAATGTTAAAAGAGTTCAATCGGAATAATGGAAAATATCCTCTATTTTCCTTCTACGATTTCGATATTCAAATTTCACAACGAGTGTAAAATGTTAAGACTAACGTTCTTCATCTTAATTGTTTCTACTCCTACTCAATATATCCCTTTTGATTATTTTATTCGATCGAACGTTTGAATGGGATGCAGATTTTCGCGGCCACTTTCTCTCGATATTTTTTATTTTACACTTATTATACTACGTAAACAGAGGATTTTATACCTTTTAAAATGATACTCTAAAGTTAATTTTTAACGTCAGGGCCTGAAATTATCAATTTCATCCGTATATCATCGATGTTTTAGGATTACAAAAGTTAAAAATTTTATTAATGAACTACGATGTAAACGAGTGTTGTTTATTTTAATCGACAGAAATAAAAAGTCCGAGATTTCGTGTAACCTTTTAAAATTATCCAACATAATATTTGCATGTGATTGAATATGAAAATATGTAAAATTACAATTAACATGATTTATCAGGTACGATTAATGTAAATTTGTCATAGAAAAATACTTGTACAATAACATTCAATGATTCGAACTAATAAAGCTTAATTTTTATTTATCTATAATTTCATTATAAAGCATTAAATGAATAAATTTTTTTTTCTTCATTTTTTAATATATTTGGAACGTTTAAAATATTATCTGTTTTATAATTATGGATTAATTTTTGCTTATTATACAACGTTAACTTATTACAATGTTATGACTCGAAACGAATGTAATGTAAATATGAGTAATAGAGATAGTAAAATTCTTGCTACGATATTTAACTGCAATGTTAAAGTTATTGTTACAGCATTGTAAGAGCAAATACATTATTATTGAACGATGTGTCTAATGACTTTTCATTATTGTTTAACCGTCTGTTTGTAAAAATATTTTGAGAGAGAAGAGTAGCTGAAAAGTACAATCCAATGGTCGAATTGTAAGGAGAATTCGTCGAGTGCAAGTAGATAGGAAAACGTCATTAGCGTAATCCGACAATGTACACGAAATCTCGATCTTTCCGAGCGTTGATACGTCTGACATTCATGATCGCAACAAAAAAAAAAAAAAAAAAAAAAAAAAAAAAAAAAAAAAAAAATTGCAACGACCAGGAAAAAATGACTAAAATCACGACAAAAATCGACAAGGCAGGGACAGTTAATCCTTTTTACGTTATCTCACAACTGAAGTACAATGCCTCGAACTGCTCGCACAGACTTCAAATTACGGACGATGCATTTTTCAAATTGTCTCTACTCGCGAGTGAAGTACTCTACCATAATACTTTCTCATTCGCTTCGCACGGGTAATATCGATATCAGAATTTTGTTTTGAAAGGACCGTGCAGTGATCGTTGCAGGAAAGGGAAAGTGATGAAATCTTAATCCACTTGTAGCTTATTAAAATGCTACTCATCTATAAGGATCATCGTAGCCAAGTTTTATAAGTAAGATAATTTTATTGAATATCAAGCCAATGCCGGTGTCATTTCATGTTCGTAACACACAGAACTCCATTATCAAAAATCATGATAAAAAGAGTAAGTAGTACATAAAAAGTATGAAGTCTGAATAAACGGCGAATGGAAGTTTCGAGCAAGATCCTTTTCTTTAAGGCTTGGGCTCGCGGGCAACAAAATTTTTCGAATCTTTGAGAGCTCGTTTACATAAGGGACCCCCAAACTCATCCTGGTGCACTCCAACTAATCTCTCGACTAACCTCTTAATTATCGGCAGGACATCCACTTTGGGGAGAGATTCTCACGCGAGTGGTCGGAGGCGAGCGAGGAGCCGATTAAGTACGGAGCGGCCCATGGACCCCAGGGTCTAGCCGGCCTCCTCATGAGGAAACACGACAGCGAGGCCGGGAGACGAGCCGTCCGCTCTCGAATGCAGCGAGTCTGCAAGTGCCACGGTGAGTATTGCCCTCGCCCCCCCCCCCAATTCTGTCTCATTCTATCTCCTCCCACTCCAAAAAACAAAAAACCAATTGGCGATGGTTGATTTATTGAGAAGCCGACAATGGCATAATCCAAGGCTGCCCTTTGTCCACGAAACTCTAGCACGCGATAAGACTAAGACCTAACTCGACGAAGCTAACTAATGACTAATAATGAGTGGTCGTTTGCAGGCATGTCCGGATCGTGCAGCGTACGCGTCTGCTGGCGCAGACTGCCAACCTTCCGCTCGGCCGGGACAGCCCTGGCCCAACTCCACGAAGGCGCGGCCCTGGTGCGTCTGGCCCAACGCGGTAGTCACCGACCGGCCCGCCTCAGGCCTGCCAGACCGGAGCTCAAACGGCCCAATAAGACCGATCTCGTCTATCTCGAGGACAGCCCCGACTACTGCGAACGAAATCTCACGTAAGTGCAGCCACTGCAACGACCAACATCCTCGGCGCCGGCTTCCTTTACAATTTATCATCCCAGCGCTTTGCACTTTTAATGATTAATGATGTAGAAATTACGTTGTCCAAGATCCCCGCTCCCAATTGACCTAACGGCCGAAAACATTGCATTACCACATCGCTTTTTCGTTACTGCAGAATTAATAAATAAACGTTATATACTACGCGCGCGCGCCTTCGAATTCGTATTCGTCCGCACACATACACGCACTTGGAATATCTCGCCATTGAACTTTAAAGGCCTGATAGCCACTTCTTTATATACACAAGCCATTGCAGCTTTAGATTACGAGTACATACATTTATCGTCGACTTTATTCGCTCCTTCTTCTTGGGCTTCGGCACCGTTCGTTGCTTTAATCTCTTTGAGAGCTGAAATCGCTGCTACAAGACACCTGTTGCGACTCCTTAATATGTAAATTCAATTCCCTATCTCTCGATATGGCTAGTCATCAATCGTATACTAAATTTATTCGTAGTATTTTCTATTTTCTTTTTTTTATTTTTTTTTTTTTTATTTATCTATTTTTTCTTTTGTTTATTTTGTTTTTTTTTTGTTTTTTTTGTTCTTGTTTTTTTTTGTTTTTTTGTTTTTGTTTTTTTTTTTGTTTTTTTTTTTTGTTTTTTTTTTATTTTTGTTTAACGAACCTACTTTCGACAAAACAGTATTGCACGAAATTCGTTTATTATCATTTTTTTCCCCCTTCATACTACCAACATCCATCTTTTTCAATTTTCAATTATGTCCGAAAGCTAATGTAGCTCTACCAATTAAATAAATAACAAACTATTTTTTTCGTTATTATTTTAATTGATGGTACATTGTATGATAACGGTAAATGTCACTTTTTAAATAATTCTAAGAAACCGTTATTTTTAGTTGACAGAGATCGTTCGAGCCCTTTAAAACAATACTACACCTAATTCCTAGAGCTCCAGTTTGGCAACCCGATATACAAGCTAAAATACCATACGAACGAATTTAAATTTTAATACAATCGATGAAAATATACTCGCGCATTCTTCTATATGCATGGCATACACGAGCGTCCGTGTAAAGAGGAGTTCCGCCACTCTCTATCGTTCAAACTAAAATCAACCACTAGAGCAAGCGTTGCCCTTATTTACCTACCTTATTATAATTGAAATAACGCGAACGAGCAGAGGAAGAATTGTCGATGACGTTTCTTTAACGATGGTATTCTTTACTCACGTAACAGATTGGGCATACCGGGCACGAAGGGCCGTATCTGCAACCGGACAAGCCTGGGCCTAGATGGATGCCGACTGCTCTGTTGCGGCCGTGGATACCAAACCCGCGTGCGTGACGTCATAGAGAAGTGCAACTGTCGCTTCGTCTGGTGCTGCGATGTCAAATGTGAGCTTTGCAAGCACACGCGGGAGGAACACGTGTGCAACTAAGGACACCACCAAGGGCGACAACCACGATTCCCGAGTGCGACCGCGCTAACGTTTACGGGAGAGTGGACTTTTCTTCTTTTTCTCCCCTCTGTACAATATCAACGGCTAACCTTAACTTTAACCTGCGAATGAGCCGACTCTTTTATAATTACTCGTTCTTATTTTTTATTTTTATATAAATTCACTATTAGTTGTCAATATTATGATCAATAGGTACCGCAGTAGTGTATTAGTAAATGAGAAGGGAAAAGTGTTAAAGTTAACGACAGAGAGTAAGAGAGAGAGAGAGAGAGAGAGAGAGTGAGAGAGAGAGAGAGAGTAAGAGAGAGAGAGAGAGAGAGAGAAAGAGAGAGAGAGAGTAAGAGAAGAGAGAAAGAGAGAGAGAGAGAGAGAGTGAAAGAGTGAAAGAGTGAAAGAGCGAACAAGGACGATAGGTGGAGGATTAAAGAGGGTATGGAAGAAAGAGTAATACAGAGCGTGAAAGAAAGAATAAGTAAGAAACAGTAAAAGAGTACGATATTAATTTATATAGATATTTACAGGGACATATTCACGACTGCATTCAAAAAGTATTTTTATTAGTTTCCGTGGATATTGTCTTATATTTATTTCAAAAAAATTAACTGAAGCCTTTTATTGTATTTCAATCAACTCTAGATTTATAATTTTATAGCTCTAACATTAAATATATGTAAACACGTGTGTGCACGTATAAAATTGCACGCATTCAAAAATAAATAACCGAATGATGAAACGACATCAAATGCCAATGAAATGTACATATTTCAATTTTTTACCTATCAACGTATTTATATATAAATATAATATTATATATTCGCGTAAGCTTAATCACTTGCAGTGTTATAGAGCTCTTTTGATTGACACTCTTAATTGTCTATTGCGAGAAGAAATAACGCTTAAGTGTAACTTCCGTTTCGACACTGCAAAACCAATGCGTCAAAACCAATATTTTGCTCATTTCGTCTTACATATAATAAATCGTACAAGTATGAAAAAAAAAAAGAAAGAAAATAAAATATAGAAGAAGAATATAGTAAATTGTGACTGTGTGATGTGGCAATATTTTCGAAATTACTTTTTAAGAAAAAAAAATGTATTCGTCACATATGAAGAATTCAAAAAAAAAAAAAAAAAAAAATTCTATTTAAAACAAAATCAATAATAAGAGCAAAATAATTATAAAAAATATATATACATACAAAATATATTATGTCGATTGATAAGCTATACTATATCATTAGTTAGTTTATAATAAAAAAAAAAAAAAAAAAAAAAAAAAAAAAAAAAAAAAAAGAAATGATAAATTTGATAAATATCGATAAGGAAAATCGATGTTTAAATGTATTCTGGCGAAATTATAATTCAATCTCGCTATTATCTCGCAACGAAAAAGATATTAACTATATTATTAATTTTTTTTTTTTTTATTAAAAATGTAGTCTTCAAAATTAAAATCGATATATTGCCTGAATTTTAAAACTACGTTAGATATAAATGAAACTATATTACACAATGAAAATATATTGAATGTACAAATGAAACTTTTTCTCGAATGGGCTTATTACCATACTATGATACCGCTTATCTCGAAAACAGTTTCTTAAAAATTTATATTTCTTATTTAATTAGAATTAAACATTTGTTAATGTATATTTATAAGATATAAAATTATTAATAAGAATTAATATATTATTTAAAAACTTTTCTTAACTTTTTGGTAATTTTTTATAGACAAAAATTTATTCTTTCTCATAAAAGTGTAATATGTCAAAGTCAAAACCTAACGTCAAATATAATTTCTTGATCGGCTGTAAAGCATTGCAGTATTTCATTAATTTTCCAAATTTATTCGATTTTTACTTATAATTATATTACAAGTATATACAATTGTACCGATTATTTCTTATAATTATAAAAGTACGGTAAAAAAATTTTAATCTGTTGTTTTTGCCTATGAATTATATACATTTGTTTTATCGAATTGATTGAACCAATTTAAGTTAATAAATTTCTAAGTAAATATTTCCATTAGTTTGCTTATTAAATGATAAAATTGTAATAAATGAATTATTCGCAGTAGTAATTGAAGCGATACCAGTAAAAAGTTTATTGTAGTAAATTAATGAGAGACATTTTATTTTCAGTTTGTGATATGATATATTACAAATAAATGCAAAATATATGCAAATGTTTATCTTTCTTGGATAAAGAATTAAGAAAAAAAAAAATTAATTAATCGATAGTAAATGAAGCGGTCGTTATATTTATTGGCACGTAAATAATAAACTTTAGATAATGAGTAACCGTCGTTCCGATAAAACTTACTCTGTCCGGAAGCGAATAACAAACGAGCAAGTACTCGTTTTAATGATTACATACAAAGTACAGTATTGAAATATAATAGTAATTTATTTTCCTTATTATTATATATAATATTCATAATCAAAACTTTTTCTATTGTTAAAACCAGCTAAACATACATAATTCTCAAATAGATATAGAGTAACGATACATATATATATATATATATATATATACATATATGCATGCACACACCCATGCGCCCATGCATACACGCACGCATACATACATCCATGCATACATACATCCATGCATACATGCATGCATACATGCATACATACATATATGTGCGCGCGTGTGCATGCGTGTGCGTGCGTGCGTGAGTGCGTGCGTGTATGTGAATAGTTCTTTATTTATATTTATATGTATATTTATATGTGTATATATATCAAATGCATGCATGACCTGTGTACTTATAAGTGTATTTATGAATACAACTGTGAAAAATTAATCTTCTTTTTATTTATCACCCTTTAACACATTATCATACGTAAGCATAAAAGATAATATCGGAGATAAACGTAAAAAATTTATTGACGAAAACTTATATATATATATATATATATGTGTGTGTGTGTGTGTGTGTGTGTGTGTGTGTGTGTATGTTTATTTGTATACAATTAAATTATATATATTCGGTTATATTAAAAATAAACATTCCAAATATTCAAATATTAAAAAAGTAACTTTAAGTATAAAATAATAATGAAATGCATCATTTACACTCTATATGTTTTATAAATGAAAAATAATAAATAACAATAAGCGTGGTAAACGAAAAAATAATTAACGAATTTATTGTAATCCATAATATTACTTTAACTGTGTAAAATTAATCATTGTCGAAATATAGAATTCAGCATTATTAATATTAGCTTTTAATTAATAACAATTATTTTCTGTGCTTCTTTTTGGACTCTTTCTTACTTTGAGATTCGGTGACATGTTGAGTCATAAAAAACAAAATCGTTACAAGTGTAGTGAAAAAGACTCCGACAAGAAATCCAGCTACCGCTTGAAGAATCTCATTGTACGTTGACACTCGTTTAGGTAAAAGTAGATTTTTTCCCTCGCCATTGTGCCTGGCCACATAACCAAGCCAATATTGAATCCGATCCATTGCATGATTCGATCTGTCACGAATGGCCTGTGAAACGAGTCTCGCGCTTTCGCGATATTTACTATTCTCGTGAATGGTTTTTATTATTTCAGTTACGGTATCTGACATCGCTTCAATTTTCTCTATATAAGCAAATCCAAGCTCCAATGCTCTTTGAGCATTTCGTTTTTCATCCATAGTCCTGGGAAAACATATCATTGGAGTACCATGAAAAGCACTCTCAAGAAATTCGGAATCAGTGCAGTGGCATAAAACCATTCTTGCCCTAGAATAACCTGGCAACAAATTATTAAATTGTCAACAATTATGATAAATAATTACATACTGCATTGTAAATGAAAATATATCTTGTCATTTTTACGAACAAATATTCACATGAATTTCAAACCTTTAAACTGAATTTCAATTATTTTTCATCTATAAGCTTTTATTATAAAGTTTAATGTATTTATTTATTAGTAATTTAACATTAAAATCTTTAATATTAAAAGTTGTGCAAAAACTGTGATTAACGTATTTTCAATTGTCTCTATAAATTATATATACCTATAAGATCTTGTCGATCAACATCTTTGTGAATAAAAAGATTACTTGGCTTATTATGCAATCTTGCACTTTTATTTTTCCATATTACGGCCAATCCTTGTCTATCGTGTGGTAACTTTTGCGCAATAGCTCTAACTAATGAATCATGAACTTGATCTAAAAGTATAACAATAGTGCCAGCTCTGAATTCAACTAATTCTTTTTGAATATCAGGTGGTAAAGGTTGAGATCCTCGACAATGATGACATCCAATCTAAAAATAAATAGTTTAATATATTTTATATATATTTTAATAGAAATAGATAATTGAATGATTAATTAAAAGAAATAAATTGTCGTTTGATTTTATTATATAATTACATAATAAATTCTATGACTTTATATAATAAAAATGCTAGTCAAAAAATATTATTACAAAAATAATCTAAGCAATTAAATATATAATAAAACATTTCAGATATAAAGCCTTGATGAAAAATTGTAAAATTGAAAAATTGAAAAATCTAAAAATGCAAAAAATTTTAATATTTAAAATTTTTATTTGATATTATATTATCGGTTAAGTGAAAAAAAAAAAAAAAAAAAAAGAATTTAATATTATTATATATTCATTATACCTCGGCTACTAATTGAGTTAATAAAGCAGAATTCATTCTTAAAATTGGATCCGCACCCCATAAGATTAATTGTGTAGTAGAATATAAATTAGCAATTGTAGTGTCAATTTCAGGCAATTTTTTATACATCAGTCTTTGTACTGGGACTACATAATTAAACTCTAAACTATACAAAAAGTATTTTAAATTTAAATTTTCTATAAAACTTTGTAGGAGACCGGTTTCGTGTACTGGTAAAGCCATTCCTGTTTTGATAAATGCATATAACTCCTCATAATGGCCTCGAGCCCATATAACAGGTATTGCAGATATAGAAGCTGCCCATGGTAGTAGACATGCGTCGTGCCTAAAAATAAAGTAATAATATAAGTGTGTTTTGTATCATTAATAATAGACGTTAATTGTAATAATTGAGTAGTTTTCAATTTCTAATCAAGCAATGTAATTAAAAATTTTAAAATCAAACTTTTCTCATTTTCATTACATTCTTTATGATATAAATTTTACATTTATAATATAACTTTACTTTAAGAGACTAGATCCTTCACATATACATATATATATATATATATATATATATATATATATATATAATCTAATATAATATGATATAAAATTCGTATTGGACCAAAAATTAAATTACATTGTTAGATTCGATATTTTGATTATATTTGAAAATTTCATCAAGTATTTTTTTTTAAATTTTTTGAACATCATATTTTATTATGACAATCGACACATAGACGAAACAAGTACAATATTTTATTAGTATTTCTTTAATTTGATAAATCCTTTAAACCAAAAATCAAACACTATCGTACAAATATTTTGGTATATTATTATTGCTTTATAATTAAAATTCATTCATTTTAATTGTTTAGTACAATATTGGTTTGCATAATTAGTATATATAATTTAAATACAAATCAATATACCTGACTGCTGGAAAAATGATAAATGTTGGTTGTATTAATTTAACATGATTCGATACATTAGAATCACTGATAAAACTTTCACAGAGTCTTAAAGCTTTAGCGTCGTTAGTATCACTCGATTGGAGACTGGCATTGATTTTTATTACTTCAACTGATATTAGATGCTCATAATAATTATTCTCCTCAAATGGTATTACAAGAGTAGTCTCTGTTCCAAGATCTGAGATTGTATTAGCAAGTAATGATAAATCATACGCATCTTCAAATGCAATAACTACAGCAGACTTTGGCGGAGAAACCAAGGAAGATGCATCGGTGGATAAAAATATCAGGCTCAAAATGAGGCAAACGAATGCCATTTTATTGAAAAGTTTTATAACTTAACTTTTTGTTTTCGTTTTATTTGCGTGAGAACTTAAACGGAACTTCGTCTAATAAATTAGCCAGACTGTGCCCAAAAATTAAAATAGTCCCTAATACGTTTGCTGAAATAAGAATTTGAAACCGGCATATTCACTTTCAACATGATAATTTTGACATTAATAAAGTAAATCTCATTCCCTTATTGTTACATAAAAATTGATGTACAAATATATATCTATTAATTTATAAATATTTATTTTATTATACTCCATTTTTATTGCATTGCTTGGAAGTAGTGTAATTTCATTATTTACAAAATTGGTTCGTAAATATTCGTGGCTTAGACCATTAAATACATGTTGTTGAAAATTTTGAAAATGAAAAATCATAAATATTAATGTTGAAAGAAATAAAATTGAGCGTTTGACTTCGCGTTTGGGGAAAATTAAGTAATGGGACGCAGAACGGCCGGCAAAAGTTCTACGATCGTAACTTGAAAATTAAGAAGTATAGTCTGTAGATTATAACTTACAAAACATACTGTATGATATCAATTACAAGTGTCTCAGAGTAAAATAAATGTCAAACGAAATCCTGGGATTTGACAGTTTAACGAATAGAAGCCTTGTATTATTATCTTCGCTGGGAATTTAAATTTGAGTTTAAAATTTCCTCCCTTATTGACAATTTTACCATTTAACGATATTTATGTAAGAATTTCGGCATTTTTCATATAATTATATTATTTAAAAATAAGAACTATCGAGTATTTAGAAATTAAATTATTTAAATTAATTATGATCTATAAGTAATAATAAAGATTATAGCCACCTAGTATCAAGAATTTGAAACCGAACAATTTCCTAACCTTTGGCGGAAAAGGAGAATAAATATACTTGTTTTTTTACTGTCCGTTTAATAACTTGTGAAGGTTTGCTTTGTTATTTAAAATTTACATAATCATGAACTTCCCTGCAAAAACTCAAAGTAACACAACGCCAGGAGCAACCATAAATTTTGGTGTTCCAGCACCGAGCTTTAATTTAGCTTCTAATGCTCCTGCAACCACATCTGCTGCTGGAACATCTCTATCTCTAGGTGGAGGTTAGTTTCCAAACAATTTAAAAATATCCGATTAAATGTTCACTGAACGTTTATTTATTTAGGATTTGGGATTGGAGCTTCCACAGCAACTACAACGTCGATTACAACAATGGGTACTGGTTTCAATTTAGGTGCTACTGCAACTACAGCATCAGGATTTAGTTTATCTAATACAGCTGCTGCAACAACGCCAACCTTTAATTTAAGCAGCTCAACTACAACAACATCGAGTGGATTTAATTTAGGAGGAAGTAGCTCGTCGACGCCAAGTACAGGATACAGTTTGGGATATGTAGCTTCGACGACAGTACCTACTGGCTTAACACTGACGAAAACTACTTCGTTGCCAGCGTCTACCACTATTGCTGCCGCTAGCCAACCACAAACTTCTTTAGGCTCGGTAACAACGTAATTAAACAAATTTTAATACATTTATTATTTTGTATTTTGTAAAATTTAAAGTATACATTATATTTGATTTTAATTTTATTTTATTGTCCAAGATTTTTTGTATTTGTGATATAAATTGTTTTTTATACAAAAAAATATATAAAATTTTAAATAGTATATTCTTACATACTTCAAATATTTCATTAATTTCTTATCGTTATAAAAAATTTTAATTTTCTAAATATATTTATGATTAAATATCTATAATTCACTATTATCATTTAGTTATTTTATTTAATAGAATTTAAAATGAAATAGCATTATGATTACAATCATTATATTATTGCCCAATTAAATCTTGTCTAAATAAACAAATTAAGTTAACACTTTATTATAATAACGGTACATAATATATTAATAATTCATTCTATTTGACAACACAGTAATCTCAAAATGATGCAAAAATAATGATACGCATCTGAATTTCAACTAGTGTACGTTAAATGTCTTTCTTAATATAGCTAAATCTGACTATGCATCGCTTCAATCAATTTCAATATAAACTATTTTAATTTTAAAATAGTTAAAGGCCGAGTAACTTCATAAATTAATCTATAAATCTGATATTTTAAAAATTACTGGTATAATTTCAAATAAATGTTTGAACATTGATACATATAACTTACTTTAAAATTTAGTTTTTTAATAATTTGACATTAATAATATAATTGAAACATATTATTGATTATTTTATTACATGTTATATTAAATAATAAATAGAATTTCAGATATAACGAAAAAGATTTATTATACAAAATATAAATAAATTCGTGGATAAATTAATTATAAATAAATTAGAAGATACAAATCTTTGTTAGTTGCATTCTATTGTATTAAAAGAAAATAGTTTAATTTATAATTTTGTACATATGATTAATGATTGATTGAAATTTTAATAAAGTGTCCTAAAATTATTAAAATGAAAGTCTTAAGTTTTATTTAAAGTTTCTTTCTCATTAATGGAATATAATAAAACTTTATTTATGTACACTAAAAATAAAGAAAATGGTAAACAATAAAAAATGGAATGTGTAAGATAATTTCTTAAATATTTGCAGACAAGATTATTTAGGTAAGAAATTTAGACGAAAAGTTTACGTTGATAAATAACGCTTATACATTATTAAAAATATAAAAAATTAATATCTTTAATCAGTTTACATAATATTGTGCGTTGCATTATGAAAACTTTTTATTTAGCGTAACTACATCATCGGCGAGTAGGCCACCCGGTGCTATCAATTTTTGTCAATTAGAGGAGTCAATAAATAAATGGACCCTCGAATTGGAAGAGCAAGAAAAAGTTTTTGTTAATCAAGCTACACAAATCAATGCATGGGATAGATTACTTATAGGGAATGGAGAAAAAATTGTAATTTTAAATCAAGAAGTTGAAAGAGTTAAATTAGAACAACAACAACTTGAGCATGAATTAGATTATGTTGTAAGTAATGTCAGATTTTCTCAATACTAAACAGATAGTTTAGCGCATTAGGATACAATTTGATAATTAACCCATTTTTTCTTATTACAGGTTGGCCAACAAAAAGAATTACAAGACTGCTTGGTACCTCTTGAAAAAGAATTAGCCTTACTGTCCGTAACTGATCCTGAACGCGAGTACACATATCGCTTGGCCGAAAATATAGATACACAATTAAAACAGATGTCGGAAGATCTTAAAGAGATTATAGAACATCTAAATGAGGCAAATCGTTCTCAGGACTCGAGCGATCCAATAGTACAAATAGTGAAGATTCTTAATGCCCACATGAACAGTCTACAGTGGCTTGTTCAGCAAACAAATCTATTAAACCAAAAAATACAGCAAATTAATCAAATGCATCAGAGCTTTCGGCAAGAAAATGAAAGGAGTTTTAACTTGGCTTACAATTAACTTATTCTGCTGTATATACCTTTACACCATTTTTCCTCACTTAATGTAATACTATTAAATAAATAATGAAATAAATATTTTTTAAAAAGTATCTTTTTTATAAATTTTAATCGCTCGATAAAATTGAACTAAACAAAATCGTACAATCTACAAACTGCGTGCACTACAATTTCAACCGAGTAGTTTTATAATAATATCAATTTTATTAATCTTACTTGGTGTCGCCTATTTGTAATATTACTTAATTTATAAGCTATTTAAAAATTATTTATAATACTAATTTATAATTAAAAGGAATATATATCGTTTATTATAAATAGAATAGAAAACATAAAGGTAGAATTAAGCCTTTAGTGGCGTTTTATAATTTTTTTTTCTTTTTAGTAATTTGAAATAAAAATAGGTTCGATCAAATGAATTGCAGAGAACAAGGTAAAGGTAGAAAATTTTATTACACTGCTGAATACTTCTTGAAATTGAAAACAAATTTATACTGTTAGTCAAAATTTGTTTTTTATCTTAACAAAAATTAATCTTATGTAAAAAATGTTTATATTAAGCAAGCTCCATCGATTGTTCTCTCGATTCGTAGAACATAAAGTTATCTTGATATTCTTTTAAAAATTGTGACGATCGATTTTCATCCATAAATAATGTATATGCACGTTTCACATCTTCGACACTTATTTCTATATTTTTATTTTTTCGACAAATGAGTGATGACGTTGTAATTAATTGAATCGCATATCTCAAAGATGTTTCAAGAGCAATACGAGTAAGCACTAACAATGCGTCATTAGACATTTCACAATCTTCTTCTTCGCATCTTATTTTTAAAATTTCTTTGAGTTCTGATTCTTGATAAGGAACAGTTGGAACAATTATCATACGATCTAATAAATCAATTGGAATTCCATGAGGGCTTTTATAATTAGTTCCTCTGATTCTTGTAATACCTCGATTTGTCGCCATAATTACTACCGGCGCCATATCATTTTCTAACGCACGATTAAGGAATGAAAAACATTCGATATCTAGCATATGTACTTCGTCAATAAACAATACACCAGGTACAATTTCTGCTTTTCCTTCTTCTCGCCACTCCGATACCTTTAAATTTATTTGTTCTCTCACTTCGGATTTAATTTCACCCGTGTCACCAGAAAATAGAGCTAGGAAACCATGTGTTCTGCTATTTATAACATCGATTTCATGTAAGGTTACAGTGTGCACAACTTCTTTTCTTTTTTGTAATTCACCCTCGGGACATTGAACAAAACGAGTTTGTGGCCCAGTTGCATCGTAATCTCGAGCTCGCGTGAACGATCGTCCAAGTTTACTAATTTTTCCCGTAGCCTTATCTATTGTTATAACATCTCCAGCTTGGACCTTCTCTTTCATTAAACATTCTATCATTTTGCTGCCTAAGTCATACACAGTTTCCATTTCTGTAGTTTTTAATGTCAACTTGCCAACTTTAGCCCCTAGTCCAGCGACGGGTCTATCAACTTGAATTTCTACAACTTCCCCTTCAATAATTTCACTTTCTTCTTTAATTCTTATACCTATTGATTTTCTTATTGATTGTGTTAAAGCCTCTGTCTTACTCATTTCCAAAGAATAAATCTCAGAGCCAGCCATAAGTGTAAAAGGTGTATCCGAACCTAAGGACTGTGCTAAAGCCAATGCCACTGCTGTCTTTCCAGTTCCTGGTTGACCCGCTAGTAATATTGCTCGTCCAGCTATTTTACCTTCTTTAATCATTTCCAAAATTACACCGGTACCTCTCCGTGCTAAAAATTGACCAACCATTCCTTGGGATACATTACGAGGTTCTAAGCTATCGTCTAATCCTAATCCACGTATATGAGAATGTGCTCCAATGCGCTCTATTCTAGTAATTTCTCGTACTTCGTGTACTTTTGAAGCTGGAATCGACATTTTACTTTGCTCTCTCTCTCTCTCTACAACGATAACAAACAAAATTTTAGTATACTATATTCGAAATCGGCTAACATTGTTCAAAATATTATAAACTATTGAAAATTAATATTTAATTAATGGATTAATAATGGATTTAATAATGGATTAATATAATAAATTTTCATAAAAATCAAAACTTATCAATGGCAAATTTGAATAGGTATATTTTTAAAATTATATATAATTATATATATACATATTCAAAATAAATTATTTACATTTATAAGATAAAATAACTTTGATACTCTTAATAATTGACAGCGTGGGTTTATTATTTTTAAAGTATTTAACATAGTATTGTAATTAATTTTTATTGAAATAAATTAAATATACTACATAGCCTAGAAAAAATACTACACATCAAATTAAACTTTTGACGTAAAAATCAAGCACGTACTTACTTTTTTGTTTAATAAATTAAAACTTAAATTAAGAATTTTCAACTCGCCAAGCAACAATTAATAAAAATTACAAAGCAATGTCAATCTTGTTTAATCAATGTAATTATTTTCTTAGTAATCCACGTTGAGATTGTTTGGTAGTATGCGCAGGCGCAAACATATCCATAACAACACGTGCTAGAGATGAAACTATTTGGCTGCGTCGGTGTGCACTACTATTTGTTTTACGTTACTTGAGTTGTTTTTCTTTTAAAAATGCAAATTACATAATAGAATTCGATTGAATACTTTTGATTTTAATATATTCAGTTCGCTAATATATTAATGGTTAATAAAAAATTTTGAATTTAAATGATGTTTATACAAATATGTAAACTAGCAACCTATCATATATCGTTCACTTTAAAGAGGTTAGATTTAATCAACATAAATATCTTGACAAACAAATGTAATTTATATTATGTATGTAACAAATTATGTTCAAGCGCTTCTTACAATATTTTAATAAATAACGGGAAGAATAGAGAAACCAATGAGATTAATGTTTATGAGAAAAATTTTAGTAAGAGTAAAAATGAAGTGAACGGAAATGAAAATAGAGAAAAGAAAACTATTCCTTCTATTGAAATTAATTTTGCTTATAAGGTACTTAATCGTTCTAAAATTCACGATAAACCTTTCACAAAACCAATATCGATTGAAAGAAATGTACATACGAATGAAATACAAAATTTGTTAAGCAAAGACTGGAACTATATGAACACAACAGAAATAGTAACAAATCTTGAATTAATATCATGGTATGCTTATAAAAATGTTAACAAAATAAGCAAAACTAAATATGAAGACATTTTAAATACAATATTGAAACATTGTAAAATCTATAATTTTAATAGAATTTATCGCATATTGCATTCGATAGAATTATCGTATGGTTCAATCGATGATTTAGATTGTACGTTGTTTCTTCAGAAATTTGTACAAAATTTTAAAAATCTAAAATATTTTTCTACAAAACAAATCTTACTAATAAATGATTTATTGTACAGATTAAATTATATAGATAGTACACATTTTATGTTTAAAAGTTTATCGAGCGTAGTTATAGAAAATTTGGATTTTAAAGATCTTATGCAATATGCATTTTTATTAAGAATATGTCAGCCGAAAATCGATGTTTGTTTAAATAAATTGGAGCAGATCTTTGCAAAATATTCTCTTCAAATGACTGTGGAAGAACTTGGACTTATGGCGTTAGTATTTTATAAATACAAATATAACTATACTAAGAAAGATCTGATATTATTGTTTATAAATAACTTAAAGCAGAACATAACATCTATCGATCCGGTTTGTATGGCAGTAATTGTCAAAAGTCTAAAGTAAGTACATAAAATTACTATTATAACAAACAGTATTACATGAACATACAATATAAAAATTGAAGATAAAATAATTTTTTCATTTTAATTTTGTTTTTAATTTTATTTTGTTTAATTAAAAGTGAAATTTTATAAACTATAGCTATTGATAAAATAATAAATACAGCTAAAACCATTATTATTTTAACTAATATAATGATAATATGAATACTTAAAATTTCAGATGTATTCGATCGTTTTTTTATTTTATTTCAATAAAAAGACAATTATATATTCTAATGTATTAATTATATATTATTATTGCAAATTTATTTAAATAATTAATCTTAATTTCTGGAAAATGCACAAGATATTTTGATAGAAGAATTGTGTAATTGTTAAAATATTATGTAATAAGTAATAATAAATAAGCAGTGAAATGTGTTATTTAAATCAAAAGTTAATTGAAAATTAGAATTATTTACTAATCTAGTGTAGATATTAAGCATCATACAGTCTTATATATGTAATATTTTATACACTTATTTTTAATAATGCAGGAATACAATTCTTAGATTTTCCTATACTATAAATGAAATACTTATATATAAATAAATTTTAGTTATTCACAATAAAAAAAATAAAAAATAAAAAAAAGTGTTTAATATGAATATGATCATGATTATTAAAACGTATTGATGTTGATTAATATATCGATTTCAAATACTATTCCAATATATGTATTGATTATACAATATTTATTTGGAAAAAGGAAAGGTATATTGCACAATGCACAAATTAAAAGCATAAGAAGTTTATTAAAATCAATCAACTTATTCATTCTTCTTAATTTATTTATCAATTTGCATTTACAATTATTTAACTTGAATTCATTATAAAACAAAATACCACTCGTGTCGTGAACTTAAACATTATATTTATATCCCCTTACTCATTGTTTATAATTTATTTACATAGGCATAAATCATGAAAAAGGGAGAGAAATAAATTTGAAATTTGAAATTGAATTATTGAGTATTTATTGATTAAAATCTTAAGAATCACAATTTGATCGGTGTATTTAAAAAATATTCTCAAACTTCTTAAATCAAACGCAATAAATTTTTATTTAAAATGCAGGTTTTCCCTTGATTTATTTTTATATGTATTAACAATAAATTCTTACTTTATTTATTATAATTAAAACAAATGTATTCTATATTTAATTATAAATTATTATGAAATTGCATAATATTTATTTTATACTAAACATCTGTAATATATAATTAATATGTAGTTACAAATAATATAAAGCAAATGCTCAATTCAATTTCATTACAATTAATTAAAATTCAAATTAAGTTTATAAAATTTTAGATTTGAATTCTTCTTTTTTTTTTTTTAAGGATTAAAAGGCAGCATTTCTAAGTGTTTTGTTATATTCTAAAAAAATTACTGTTATTGTTATCTACATTTAATAAGTTATTTAACTGTTTGCATATTTTTTTTTTTTTTTTTTTTTTTTTTTTTTTTTTTTTTTTTATATTATTTATTTAGATTTTACAGAATCTATTGTAATGTAGTAAAAATATAAATTAAAATATTAAAGTTCTCATTTGTTTTTATGTTTAATAATCTATATTAAATTAATCATAGTTTTATATAGTTCCAATTATATTTTAAATTTCTCTTCCAATGCAAAGAAATGAATTTTAATAAAGTAATTGATAAAATTTCAATACAACGTTAAGTTCAATAATTTGATCGTGATCAGGATAATAAAAACTTTCCATATATAAACATTAACAGAGTCAATTTATAATTAAAAAACAAAAATAATTTACTACTTATGATATTCAGGTAATTCCTTCTATTACTTGTAAGAATAAAATTTTGATGAAAAAAAATACAATAAGGCCTTAATAAAGTTTAATTAATAATAATAAATCTAATATTTGTATTTCGAACATAATATTTTCTTTTACATTTGAATTATTCTAGAGGGTCCATTTATCTTGAATTTTTGAATAAATACGTTCAGTTGTTAAAAATAATAGAAATACACATACCGCATATTAATTCATTGTGTCTAACACATATCTTACATCTACAAGCAAGAACATTGATAGACAATGATAAAATCATAGCTAAAACATTACACAGGTTTGTATATTAATCACTGTTTTTCATTAAATATGATTGTATCGCAAATAACTAATTAATATATATATATATATATATAATTTTAAACTTATTTGAATGTGACTGGTCTGTTTATATTTCAAAATTTTATATTTTATACATTTCTCAAAAAATTACAAATACTCAAAATAAAAATAGTTAAAAAATTCAATACATTAATATAATTATTATTTATTTATATGCAATTTCACGAATGTGTATGTTAAAAAAATTTTTCAACCTCATATAGATAGTGTATTGTATGAAATTAAGTTGTTTTATGTAAAAAAGATTTTTAATTAAAAAACGTTTCTTATTTTTAAATTGTTATTAAAATTATTGTTATTAAAATTTCTTATTCAGAAACGATAACAAACAATGACCATATTATCAATTATTCATATAATATAAATGTTAAATTGAATAGAACTTTATGTTCTAAAAGATGTATATTGAAGATTTTTATAGTACCATTTATTTGTAGGTACCTAAATAATATGGAAAATTTGAGAATAAAAGACATTGAAAGGATTTTATTAACGTTATATCAGTTCAATTATGATTCCAAAGTAACTCCTTTTTATTCTCACGCAGCTGAAGAATTAGTAAAGCCTTCCAGAAAAGAAGAACAACAAATGTAACGCACCAAAATCCGTCCAATTTACATAATGTAAAAAGCAATATATTATGAATTACTACTATTTATTAATTATTTTAATATCTATTTTTTACTTAAAATACTTAATAATTAAAAATAAAAAACCTTCACCACAAATATAGCAATGAGAATTTAAAGAATTATTTTATAATAATATTGTACAAAGTGCATATTTAACATACATTGAATATATCAAATATGTATTGTTTGAACATATGTGAAGATGAGAAGAAACTAAACATCTTTTTACAAATAGCATTTGTATTAATAATAACAAAAATTTCTGCATAGGTTTCCAAAATCACTTATTTATTGCGCTCAATATTTATTACAAGCAAATTTTTGTTTTAAAAAAATATTGGAAATAATTATGAATCCAGCATTTATAAAACTTACATCGGCTAACGAGATATGCAATGCATACATTTATATTCATAATTGTTTGGAATTAGATCATCCTGAAATTAAAGATCAATTCAAATTAGACAATTCTGTATTAACTACATTTTATACGGTAAACTCCATTATTTATTATATATTAATAATTTTACAACAATTATAGCCTATATACACTTTTTTCAAAATTTAAGTATAAATAAAAACTAAGAGCCAATATGTTTTCATGCATAACAAATTTTAATAATAAGCCAGAAGTTTTAATTAATTTTACATATCATTTCTTATATGCTAAATTGTTAAATGTTTTAGATAGCTGAACAGTGGAATAAAAATTTAAAAGGCCATTCGAGTAAACGTCAACAGTTTGCAGCCGATGTCATTTACAATTTTAAGGTATAACAGTTATGTATTTTACTTGGACTATTTAAAAAATCCAATACTAAGGCTAAGTAAGCATACCCAAGATCTCAAAATATTTGCGACGTGAACTATTATGAATTTCAAGGATTTTTATAATACAAAATTCATTTACACGTTAAAAATATTTGACTAAATAGTTAACATTTTTATTGACTATTGTTTAAATATTCATAATTTTAGAAATATATCTTTGTCAAATACTTGCAATTCAATTTTTATAAAATTAAATTTTATAAATTAAAAATTAAAGCTTTATTCATTGTTTTGGTATGTAAAAAATCAGTAAAAATAAAAATAATACAACAATGTATCATTATTGTATTTCAATAGTAACTTATTTTCTCTTATTTTCTTGAATTTGATAATATTGCTTGTTTATTGTAAATTATATTACTATGTAGTCTTTCATAAAATTTCAAAGTTTCTATATTCATATTACCAATATCCATAATACTTATAGAATAAATTGCTGTTTTTCAATTCTATAAGAATATTGTGAAAATGCAAACTTTATTTTTCAGTGCACTTTTGGATTAGATGCACATATCGATACAGATTTATTATTGCCGTATATGTTTAGGAATGATATTGTTGTTTGTTACAATCGGAAAACGAAACAATTTCATCCACCACACGAAGAGTTGTCAAAAATTCCAGAAAGAACTATTAAATATGCACCAAATGATGGGAACACTTGGTATACTCTAATTGTTACTTCGACCAATAATTTATTAAAAATATCCAAACTTCCAAGTGGTTTTTTAACAATGCATATGAGGCATCTAAGACGTGCTGGTTATACCCCAATTCTGGTCAGTAATTAATATATCTTTGTCTCGCTGTCACTTATTCCTCACCCTTGCTGCTACTTAATTCCGTACTATTTGCAAATAATTTCAACTTCGTTATAATATTCCAGATAAATTATAACGAGTGGATAGAAAGGAAAGGTGATTTACTTAAGGAGATTTTCGATAAATAAATTTTTATCGTGATACCCTGCTGTATATAGTATAAAGATATAATTATAGAGTATAAATGTAACATCATGAATCTGATGTATATTTTTAAAAAATTTTAACGATACAAATTATCTATACACTTTACAAAAAATGATAAAATAAAAATTTCTAATTTATATGTAATCCTTATAATGCATGACACACAGAGCCATACACGACATTTATAAATATGAATAAAACAATAATGTTGTGGTTTAAAAGATAACTAAGGAACGATTGATTAACATTGAAAAATTATAAACAATTTCAAATAATTTTAAATTTCATTTGTAATCACAAAAATTAGTAATAGATATATCTAATAGAAATAAGTAAAATTGATTGAAATTTTCAATAATCATGCATATACCACATGTATGTTAATTAAACTAATTAAAATCATTTTCTAATCTTATATCGTCATAAGATAGTCGGAGTATTAAATATAAATTGCACGAAATGAAAGTCAAAAAAATTATCATATATATACAATGATATTTACAAGTTATTTGAATAATAAAATATTCTATTCGCGAAATATTAAGTGAAAGAAAATGAATTCTTATCATTATATTTTAATTCTCATCGAAAAGTAACTAACATAAAATATTTCTTTACCGTTTAACGAAATGATAATAAAAAAAAAAAAAAATGTTATGATGTATTCATATTTTATTGATATTTATTCATTCTTAATTAATCGGTATTAATTGGTAGACACAATTACCTAACATTATGAGACGTAGATTAATCCTTTTTGTCTTAACAAAATTGACTTTGGATTTATTGACTCAAAAAATGTTAAAAGCAATGTCCTCTATTGTAAATAAAGTTAAATGAAATATTAAAAAGGGTAACAATTTGATGTCTACAGTATTTCCATTTTATTCCTGTTATTAATTAAATGTTAATACAAAAACTAGTAAAACTTTTGCAAATAATTACTTACGTTCGACAATTACAATTAATATAATTAATTGGCGCCTATATAAATTTCTGTTACTTCGTGTAATTAAATTAAATATATGATTTATTGCGTGTAAGAGGTAAGTTTTAAAAATATTTCAGAAAAAAAAGCCCATTGAGAAATTTACATTATGAAAATTATAAATATATACAACACCTACATTATGCATCATTACTAAATTCATTTATAAACGAATATTATTAATAAACACTAAATATATAAATAAGCCATTAAATCACTATGTTATAAAATTATGTAATAATTTTTATTTATAACAAATAAAATATAATATATCCATTTAAATAATTTCGCTTCGTAATGATGAGATATTTATGGTGATAAATCTTCCAAGATTAACATTTCAAAGTATCGATATTATTGTCTTATAATAACTAGTATCGATCTATAATGGAACAGTTTAGTAAGTAAAAGTACGAAACCACGTATGCGATTATGAATATTAGCGAAAATTTTTTAATATTTTGCATTAGGGCCGCTTAGATGGTGCATTCATTGAAGGTATGCCAAATGAGAATTAAATTTATTGACTTATTCGAATAAGCAACATTTCGATAAAAATTTCTGCAATGTTCAAGCAAATGACGATAGTACGTGATATATTGCTTGATATTTTATTTACGATGCAGAAATAGCGAACTTAAAATAATTAAACTATTGCTTTCAGTTTAGATCTCGATAGATATTCTAAGTATTCTATGCACTTTTTCATACATTTCTCGATTAAAATACATTTAAACGTGAACCTATAAATGTATTTCTAAGCGTTATTTATCTATTTGTAATTGTTTGCGCGTGTGCGTGTGCGAGTGCGTGTGCATGGGTGGGGGGGGGGGAATGATTTTGTTGTTGTCGTTGTTGTTGTTGTTGTTTTTGAAATTCAAATATTAATGTTAATCATTGATTTTATATTTAATTAAATCTATTGTAATTGCAAATATTTTATATGATAATAAATTAAAATAAAACAAAAGCAAATGTATTTTTTCATTAAAAATACATTCTCATTTCATTATTTACCATATATACATATATATATATATATATATATATATATATATATATATATAATTAAAAGTGTGATCAAAGGACGAATAAATTTTTATTTTAATTATATTTGCCTCAAATGAAAGTACTTTCTTTTTTTTTTAACCAAATACATAGAATGCAAAAAAAAAATGTTTAATGCAATTTTTATTTAATAATTTTTCATCAAAATTACTTACAATGGTAAAATTATAATATCAAATATAATATTTATTGTATTTAAATGGCCGTTTATAATATATAATGTATAATAATTATTGTAATCAATTTTAATGATTTTAAATCGAATTTTAAATGATTAAATCGCATTTTTACTAACAAATGCATTTATGTATAAACCTTAAATTTTTCACATAGACATTTATTTAATTAAGCTTATGTAATTAATTCGACTGACTTGACACTTACTACCATTAATAATATATTAAAATCGTATTAATATTAATTTGAAAAAATCTGTAAATACAATACAAGATGCTCCATCTATAACTAATAACTACAGTACAATCGTCGGAGTTCGTATTCCATTCTCAATATTCACGTTGTCGTAATTTAGTTCATGTTATACAAATATAAACCTACTTACCTTTATAGTAAATATAAATAATTAAAAGAAGAAAAAAAGAAACAAAAAAAAAAAAAAAAAGAGAGAGAAAAACTACAACAAATAATAATGATTTTAAGAAAATTTAGCGAAGTATTAAAGTGGAAATCAAAATTAGTATTTAAAAAGTTCGATTCACCGAACATATGTATTTCAATAATAAACAATAATAATAATTTACTTTTTAACGAAACATTTATATATGCAAATGATGCTTTTAGACAACTACATAAAAGTACTACGATACGTCGGAGTTTTCGAGAAAAATTGATATTTACTCGTGATACATTAATAAATAATGAAAATTTGACTTCCTTTTCAATTTCGTTGGAAGCCAAAGATGATATAGATATTACATACGCAGAGCGCTTAATAAAAACAGATTGGACAAATATGAATAATACAGAACTATTAAATAATTTTGAAATTCTTTCTTACTATGCTTGTAAAAAGAATGAAATTTTATATGATCCCAAGTATGAAGAAATAGTACAAGTACTAACGACTCAATGTTCAAAATTGAGTAATAATGAATTATTGCTTTTGTTGAATTATTTAAATTTATGGAATGACAAAAACAATAAACAAATAGCTACTCGTTTTTGGAATGAATTTAATAATGAACTTTTTCTACGAAAAAATGACTGGACAATTAATGACTTGTTTGTAATCAATGATAATATTTTCAAGTTAAATAGATTGAATTATACAAAATTTTCTAAGTTCAGTATACAAAAATTGTCCTATAAGCCGAATATACTTAGCAAATTACAATTGATGCAGTTATTATTTTTATTGAATAGCCTTCCAAGGCTCAAGATTAATATATATAACTTTGAGTATTGTTTAGAAAAATTTTCCGACAATTTATCGCTAAACGATTTAATCATATTTGCAATGCTATGCTCCAAATATAATAATTCAATTAAAAGTATAGATTTTACTGAAAAAATTATACAAAGACTTTATAATGAAATGTCTGTAATCGACGATGATTTTTTACCAACAATCTTAAGGATGTTAAGGTAAATGGAAATTATTTTTCTTGACGTTATATTTTGAAAATAATAAATTTTCATATTTTATTAGAGAAAGTCAAAATTTACAATAAAATCTTACTTTCCATAGTTTTAATTTTATAAAAGTAAGTTCTTTCTCAACTAATATTATCTAATATTCTCAATTAAGCATTAAGCATATAATAAAAGGTATGTACTGTATTTTGATGAACAATTATTTTTAGATTTTCTGATTTGAGAATAATAAATTCAGCTGATACATTACTGAAATTAATGGAAAGTCAAGTTTCAAGTCGCTCCCCTCAAACTCTCATACAAATTCTGGAATTTCAGAGAATAAATTTAATCCATAATAAAACATTAACAACAGAAATATTGAAAAGGTTGATGCAATCAATATTGCAAATTGAATATTAATAGCGATATAAATATTGAAATTAATTTACTACGTTTAAAAATTGGAATTATTATAATTTTATAGGCTTGAACCAGAGATAAAAGATTTAAAAATTAAAGATATCGCAAGACTCGTGACCGCACTCGTTTCATTAAATTATGATCCAAAGACAACTTCCATTTATTCTACGATTGTAGATAATTTATTAAATCAAACTACCACCAATAGGTAATTTTATTGAACAATTTTCCGCATCTACTACATGAAAGATTGGCTTGCTTGTCATTTAGAAATTTAATGAATTTGTATAATATTTGGAAAAAAAGATTTACAATCATTCTTAGACTAACTAAGAATTGTATTTGATTTCACAATATAATTTATTACTACTAAATTACTAAAATTGATTATTGCAAATCATTCTTAGTAGCAACTAAAAATAACACAAAAACCATACATCATCATTTTTATCATATAACAAATTTGCCTTTTAATGAGCAAATCAATATTCTGAGTCTTTTATATATGAAATCAATGTCGGTAAAAATACATAAAAATATTTAATATGCTGAATTAATTGAATATTATAATAAATAGCTTAAACTATATAATTAATAGATTCACATGTCAATGTAAATTATAAATTACTAAACTATTAAAAAGAACATTGCATATAATATTTAATGATTACTGATTCGAATAACTATCAAGCAAATTATCTCTTTACCAAAAGCATTTCGAAACTCAATTATGCTTATTTTTGAAATACTCGTATTATAGATCTATTAATTATATTTATTATACATGAATTATTTTTACTGTATTGATAATTTTATTTTAACTATTATATATAGTCTCGTATATCTCCAAATCATATGCTATTTGGCTATGCTGGATTATTATAACGAAGAAGCCTTAAAAGTTGCTATGAATCTTAGTCATTTTAAAACAAAGGATGAAATATTCTATGCAAAATCGTATCAATTATTTTTACGTTACTCGTTAAAAATTGATTGTCCAGAATACAGTGATTCAAATGATGAAGAAGTGGTAATTATTTTATACAAGTAAAATAAATATTATAAATTTATTTTCATATTATTTATGAGTTCCTGTATCTATAGAAATTTATCAAGGCATCTATACCAATTGTTAAATTTAAAAATCATACAGATGTATTCAGGAAAGATGTAGCTGATATGTGTAAGGTATGTATATTCTTATTTTAATTAGAAAAAAAGTTTTATGATGGATTATAAGAAAAACATTTGAAAAAATCATTCTAAAGTATTATATTGTATTATTATGTCCTTCGAATGTAAAAAAAAGAAAGAGCGGAGTTAATGTTCAATGAATTTATTCTTATAAAATTTATTTAACAAAGCCTTAATCGTTTATATAATAATCTTAAATTAATTAAATCGTTTAAAGTTATTTTAAAATAAATATGTTTTCTTATTATGAATAGCTGAAATTTTAAGTATCGCTTAGTTAAAAAATTCTAATGCATTTGCAATGCATAAATGATCTTGCGAATCAAAATAATTTTATTAATTTATAGCATCATAAATGTTGATTAATTAATGTATAAATATTATGTATTGAAATGCTTCATAAAGACTTTATAAAGAGATTATACAAATAATAAGAGTTAAATACAATCAATTTTACAATTTTTGCAATAATTGCTTACACATTCGTTGAATTATATATTGCTGTCGGATATGTAGTAAGAGATTTTCTAAAATTTACTAAATTAAACATTATAATAATTTTTTTAGAAAGTCATAGGTTCTGAATCAGCAGTTCACATAGATATGCTTTTGCCGCATACCTTAATGCAGTTCATCGTTATTTGTTATGATGAAAAAACTAGAGAATTTATTCCACCGGGAGAGATATTATCTAAAATCCAAGGGAATAAAATAAAATACAGACCAGACGATGGAAGAAAGTGGTATGCTTTATTAACTAACACAAACGCATACCAAATAAAGAGCACTTCTACTTTTACTGGCGAGCTTATAATGCAAATAAGGCAATTAGAGCGTATCGGTTACATACCCATTTCGGTAATTTACGCAAAATCTCTTTTTACCTTATTTTTATAACTGAAATTGTTTTCTCTTTCTTAATACAGATATTTAATAGCGATTGGAAGCAACTGGACGAAAGTGAAAGACAAACTTTTATATCAAAGATTCTGTGTGTATAAATTTATTTCTGTTATTTCTTAGTTTACATACAATTATACATTATTTATAAAACAAAGAGTTGTTAATTAATTAAATACATTGAATTATTTACATTCATAAATTCTTGAGTATTCATTTAATGTCTTACCGACTCAATTGATTATTTTGTGCGTTTTTTATCGTATTCTGATTCTTAAACTAATACATTGATCATTACAGAAACATCCTTTTTCAATGAGTGATAAAATCTTTGACGTAAAATCCTCTTAGCGGCATGATTAATATAAAAGAAAATATTCGTTTTACTGAGTAGCCATCCGTTAATCAACTATGCGATGCATAAGTTTTTTTGTGTACTCGTATGTAACAAATAAAGTTGCCGTTGCTGGAATTGTTCTGATCAACGTTGGTTTAAGGCCACTGTATAAGGCACTGACACCTTCAGTCTTTACAATGTCTTTCATTAATGCCATTGCAGGTGTTTTCAAATTTTGAGCCTTTGTTGAAAAAAACAAAAAACAATTATATTAAACACAATCACGCTGATTAGAATTAACACTTGTATTAATGAATATGTCAAATATTTTTCATTAAACTTAAAAGGCATATTATTTATTAAATATCTATGCTTAATGCACAAGGTTAACTACTTAATTTCCCTTGTTAGTTAAAATTTTATAAATTAAACATTATAAAATTGTTGTTTTAATTTGAATATTAAATAAAAATCTGTGGCTCTGATTTTGGTATCGTCTTCACAAAAAACAATTTATGTACAAAGCACATATACAATTTGTAGATATATTACAAATTGTATAAAGTACAATAATCCATTAATCCAATATTAACATGAAAATTTAATAAACAAATGTTTGAAAAAAGAAAAATATTTTATACAAAATTATAATTTTAGATATGTATATTTGTATATTTATGTATATTTCCAACAACTCTTTCATCAACTTTTTCATCACTGATCTTACTTTAAACTTTGAATAATTAAATAAATACGTTTAAATATTATTGTTATCCAATAATTTCTAAGTTATAGGTGACTTCTCTGTTAGCAATTATTTGTCGTTTCTTTTTAACGTATAAGGCTCTTAGCTCTATTATATAAGAAATAATTTTGTACTCTCATTTATTGAAATAAAAAATGTATACGATATATTTATGAATTCTATGCTATGATTTAAGCTATAAATATACAGTAATGTCAGTGAATTTTTGCATCTCCTCGTATTAATTGATATGCATTGCGAATTGCAAAAGAAACAAAAAAAAAAAAAAAAAAAAAAAAAAAAAAAAAAAAAAAAAAAAAAAAAAAAGTTTTAATATTTCGTTTACGATATGTGACTGAAAATCTCTAAAATTGTAGCATTAAAATAATAAATTTACATAAATATACAATGGTAATAGGTAATTCCTTTTCTTTTCTTTTTTTTTTTTTTTTTTTTTCATTTTTCTTTAATATAATATTAAGAAAAAATGTTAAGTTTCGGTGAAAATAAGGGAGAAAAATCGTATAATCATATACATTTATTTAGCTGCTAAGACAAGACTATTAACATTCTAAAATGGAAAATAAAAACAAAAATTGTATTAATATATTTTAAGAGAAAACTCAATATTATAAGCAAAAAATGTTTAATTTACATTAAATAAAAATACGTAAAAATAATATTCAAAAGAAAAATCACGAGATCAAATAGTAATAAAAAAAAAAAAAAAAAAAAAAAAAAAAAAAAAACGTTCTTATTTTATAATCAAATTAAAGTGCTAATTGCTAATAATGATGAATTATTAAAATACCATAAAATACAAGGATTCCTATTGCATAGTGTCAACGTTAAAGTTGAAAAAGTTTTTAACATCTATCTTGCAGTTCTACGAATTTAGTCTTCTTTATTTGGGCGAGAAGTGCCCAACGATTCAACGCGACTGGATTTGAAGAAAAAAATCGGGAAAAGCCGATAAATATAGATCTTATTAGCCTAGCTCGGAAATCACTATAGTATCATATTAATCATGAAAAGATCGAGAAACCTTTAAATCAGATTTATGAAAAATACATGCGCGTGTAGAATAACATAACAACGAACGACCACCAATGCGCATTTCGATAACAAGGAATGTGCAATAAGAGAATAAGTAGCTTATTAAATAGCTGATTTGATCGTGTCGGGGAAAAGTGAGAAAAGCGCGGATAAAACAATGGAACGTAAAGCGCGATAATTACTTGAATTCTGCTTTTCACGACATCCGCAGGGAAGATGACGATCCACAAAACTGTCCCACCTACGGCACCCGCCACCATCGTCCTCTGCCATCCAATTTCATCTCGATTCTGCTCTGGTTTCGCCAATAACTCCCTCGTCAGCTCGTACGCGCCAAAGAAGAAGAAATAGCCTGGCATTTCTCGAACTATCGTCGAGGTTAGTCCTCTATAAAGGCCAGAAATCCCGGATTCTTTGATGATTTGCCTTGTCAGCTTCCACGGGCCGACGTATTTCTAAAGCGATTTCGTAAATGCTTCACAGGTGTATTCTTTTTTACTTAACTTTTCGTTTTTTTTTTATTTATTTTTTTTATTTTTTTATTTATTTATTTTTTTTTTTTATTCTCACTATCATTGATATTCACCACATTCGTTCCCCCAGTTTTATTATAAGATTGCACTTCTCTCATTGCTTGTAATCGGCATTTTATTAGCTCCGTTGGACATAGTGTAAGGGTTGAGAAAAATGCTGCGCAAAATCCAGCCAACGCATTTTCAAACGAACTTAAATTCTCAACTTTGGGGACACCTATTAAAAAAAAAAAACAAACAAAAAAAGACAAAAAAAAAAACAAAAAAAAACAAACAACAATTAAGATCAATCGCAATATTAGAATTCGCAGCTTTTGCTTATATGGCTTGTGTCCTTTACATTTGCATTGAAATTGGGAAAAGCAACGAGTGGCCATAAGCATTAGGGTAAATATGTCTTTTGCATTTTGCGTACGGCAATTTCAATTATTAAGCCGTTTAAAATAAGCTTTTAGTAACAAAACATACATATATTAAGCTATGAATGAAGGACGTATAAATACAACCGAGGCAATATTTAGTTTGAAATATAGTCTGATTAGTAAGCATATGTATGGATTGTCGTAAGCCTTTGCCTTCCTCGCTCGCGCGTTCTATCGCAAAATTATAAAAATTCAAGCTCTATCGATCAAATAATTACCTCATACTTACCAAATATGTTGGCCACAATTTTTTGACAGCCACCATAAGCCGCAAATAATATTGAATTCTCCGCTACGTTAGCGACAATCGATGGTAGTGTACCGGCATATAAACCTTTAACTATTCCATCTGTTCTCACTGTCTTCATAAAACAATCCACCATACCAACGTAAATTTTGGGAAAAGTCTGCATTTTTACTTTCACTGTGTCCAATGGTTGGCCAACGTAAACTAATGCCACTCCACCTGAAGATTAAATTTTTTTTTTTTTTTTTTTTTTTTTTTTTTTCTCATAATTATTCCTAATATCTTCCTAATATATTTGAAGTTCTTTAGATAATTAAACAATTTGAAGTAAGCGAACCATGAAACTTATATTTTCCATTTATATTAAATAATATAATTCGTAAAGAGATCATGGATGTTTTAAAGTATGAAGAAGAAGAAGAAGAAGAAGAAGAAAAAAGCATAGTGCTTTTAATAATAAACTAAACTAAAATAAATAAATATAATAACTTTTAATAATAACTAAATAAAAAAAATAATATAAAAATTGATGTACAATTAATAACATAATCTTTAATTAATCGTAACTTAGGCGCCTAAGATTATAAATTCCTTTATCAAATCTCTAATGCTTTAAATAACTATTAAATTAAATAATATAAATTAAATAATAATAATAATAATAATAATAATAATAATAATAATAATAATAATAAGTCTCTTCTTTTGTATAGAAAAATTTAATGAAGAAGCTTGAGATGGAAGCTCTGAAAAATTAAAACAACGTGTTTATTAACTCGAGTAGCCATAAAAGAGTAGAAAAAAAAATCAAATTATTCTTTACCCATAAAATGTCAATGAATGTTTAATTAAAAATATAATAAAATATAAAAAGCATAAGCATATCATTAATTTGAGCGACATAATACGAAGAGAGAAAAATAACAGAATATAAATTCCAATAATTCTATTTCTCGATATTTTACAAAGCGAACTCGCTGGTAAAAACATTACACGTTGCATCGGCGATTATTTATTCACATAATTTTTTTTAATGACCATACGCGCGCACGCGCACACACACACACACACACACACACACACACACAAGCCGACGACAATACATAATCAAGATAATATAGTACATGAATTTACTGCAGATCCAAGCTCATATCACAAAGACGGAGTAATATATAAATTCTTTTTAAAATACATCGGTAAAACAAATCAAGAGACCGCTCGCTCATTTATTATAACGTAAAATTTATTACAACATTAAAGCTTTGCTTAAAATAAAAGTTCTCAAAAACAAATCGAATAACTTCGCGCTAAGAATTTATTTAATTTACAATTTATCTTTCTCTTTTACCAATGCCTATTCATTAGATTAAATATATAATTTAAAAATATTAAATTACTTATTTATTCATTCATATCAATAATATAATTATAATATTGTTTAATAAATTAAAAAAATGTTAAAGGCGCAATAAAACATTAATTTATCTATTATAAATTGGCTGATATTATCGCATTAATTGTCACTGCTAAGATTTTATCGTCTATTTTAGAGTCACAAATTTGATCACCCGAAAGAAAATTAATTATACACCTCTGATAATTCATTAGATTCAATGAACAAATAAGATTAAATAACTTAAAGGTTAAATTGCATTGCTGCAATAATATTAGACGGATGCGACGAATAGTTGTCGATGAACTTTAAAGCAGTCAGCGTGTATTTTTAAATTTCTCAAAACAAATTACTCAAAACGTAAGAATTGGTTATGTAAAAATAAATTAAAAAATAAATAATAATTACTGATTCGACCATCCTCATTTTTCTCGTCAAAATATGAAATGTAAAATTAATAAAGATTACAATCGACGACAATAACATTGCTATTTCAAGATTTTAAAGCACAATTATTTGTTAATAGGTAATACTAAAATCATAGAGTAATGGAATGTAAATATCTTTACCTCTTTGTACACATCGTAAACGCCAATTATCAGCAATTATGTAAATTTTCTATTATTTATATAATACAAAAAGAAAAATTGAAATTATTCAAATATTTTAATACGTATAATTATGAAAATATGATTACGCTTAACAAATATTAATAATTTTGTCTTCACTACGGAGCACAATAATAAATGCAATTAGAAATATAGATGAAGAATAATTAGTGTCTTTCAAAATAATCAAAATACAAATAATCATAAATTTTCTTATCTTTTGCATGCAAAAATGTCATCATTACGACGTATTCCATAATAACGTGGATGTTTTTTTTCCCCTTTTTTTTTATTGACAACAAAAATTAAAAAAAAACCAAAGATTTCTAATTATTTGTTTAGATGATTTTTTATCTTAACACAGATTAAAAATTGTATAAAATACGTTATGAAACAATTAAATTTAATGTTATTTTTAATTCTTAACGATAAATCATCATTTATACAATGTATATAAAAAAAAAAAAAAAAAGTAATATTTGTGAAATGTTTTTTATATAAATAAATTGATAAAACTGAATTTGTTTATATATATATATATATATATATGTGTAATTAAGATATTATTTATTTATTTAATAATTGAAACAATACTTTTTTAATTGTTTTTTTATTTTATATTGAGATCAATTTGATACAATTTTTACATCAATCGTACATTTTAAGAAGAAAATTTCAAAAACAATTAATTTTTAATAATGATACATAACAGAATTAATTTTAAATATTATAAAATAAAAGCTATGGATAGATGGTTAATAATAAGAATGTTTAACACTTGTACAAATTATGATTTATTTGTTAAATCTTTCAAAATAATATCATCGTATTAAATAGTATTTAAAAAAAATTTCACAATAATTTATTCAGAATTTTTTACAATAATTTTATATTTAAAAATAGCATATATACATATTCAGATATATAAATATAGTTTATCATCTGTGATAATTACATAATTTTATTTACAAATTTAATGTAATGTAACATTATAATGAAGATAAGATAAATCCATTATATTAATAAAGAATAAATTCATATTTAAATAACGTTTACTAAAAATGACATATTAAAAAAATGCACATTTAACTAATATAATCTTGAAGATACGAATTGAGTTGGCAAATTATATTGATTTACATGAAATGAAATTTATTATTTAAATTTTACAGGACTAAGTGCTATTGTTAAATTCATAAATAGATTTAAACTTTTAATTTGCTCAATAAAAAGCTTAAATACATATTAGAAAATAAAACAAACTATTGATTACAGATGTATTTATTTATATTGATGATTAAATTATAAAATTTTCTATGATAATCAATCGAAAGGTAAATATTTTTCTGTTTCATTGTTTTATAAAAATAAGATTTATAACAACAAGTATTCTTAAATATATCTTAAAATCTTAAATTATTGTTTTTATTAAAATATGATAGTAATGATATATTAACTCTTTCAATAGATTACATTGTTTATCCATTGAAGCATTAAATGAGCACATTACTTTATCAAATATTAATTAAGGAAAAAAAATCAAAAAAAAAAAAAAATCAAAAAAAAAAAAAACAAAACAAAAAAAAAACAAAAAAAAAATGAAGTAAAGCTATATACAATAAAAGAAGCATAAACGAGAGATAACAAACTCTACTTGTATAAATACATATACAATTCTCACCCACTGAACCAGCGATAAAGTCAATTAAGCCATCCTTCATATTGCTCATGTTTTTACTTTTTATAGTGGTGATGTTTTCACTGCTTGTATTCATAATTTCTAACGCTATGATGTTCCTGTATATTTAAAAAATTCTTTACCATTAATTGTTACTTAACTTGTAAAGAGCATAAAGCTACAAATGAGGAAAAAGTTCAATACAAATCTTGTCTACGATTGCACTATCTTCGAAATCCAAGCGCACGCATGCGCCTCTATATCACCACTTATCCTTCGAGCTGATAAGAATATTTCCCTCTTTGATTAATCTCGTAGTTCTGTGAGCTCTGTAAGGTTTCATGAGCTCTTCTCTTACATAAATATACTGCCAAATAATTACAAATGTAATAACCTATTTAACAAGCATTTTATCAATCAGGTTATAATAATTAAAAGCGAAACATATCCATGACTAACTTGCTCTCGACACTTTAATTTAAATGCTGTATTAATTTCTTTCAATAATAAAGCTATATTATTAATTAGTGAACAATTTTATTAAATGATAATAGGAGTTGTAGTACTTGAAACAAAAGTAAATCTTAGCCTTAGATATGCTCATCGATAATGCATTATCGACCGATTTTAAATTCTACTCCGTTGGTAAATAAATCGCACATTTGCGTATGCATGCGCATATATGTAATTCAAAGTTTTTTTTTTTCTACTTTTTTTTCGATTTTGATAATGCTATTAAGCTTATTTATGTGTATTGATGTTATATGGTTATCGAACTGAATTATTATTGAAATAATCATATATTATACATAGGCATTACAAGGACATTACAGGAAAGATTTATTGAAATTTGCATTACTTTTATACGTCTTTTATTTCACTTTATATATCAAAAATAAATCTACTAAATTATGATCACAATAATATTGTACTTACATTTAAATCACATATAAGTACTACTTTATAATTTACCTTAACAATAATAAGTACCTTAAATATTATTATTCGAAATACATGCATTTCACATAAGACTGTTAATAACACTTTCTGTTCGTTACATGTATAATGTATATACATTTGAATGCATATTTTGAAAAAAGTTATTTGCACTTTTTAAAGTATAAACTTTTTCTCGTAAAATTTTTATCTTTATTCGGAAACATAATGTTATTTTAAATAAAATACTTCAATGATTTTTCTATATTTTTCCCCCATGTTATTTGAAATTCACAGACTATCCTTCTATCGTTATTGTCATCTTCATATGTTATATTATTGTATAACATATGTATAACATCTTCAATATTATGTTAAATGTCATTAATAAGTCAAGAAACGAGTAACTTTTTCTTTTGTCTTCTACGATGTGGTCGAGGATTGGGTGCATAACCGATAGATCCTTGCATTTTCATCATTTGAAGAATCTCTGCATTTATTGCTGGAGTTTTTCGATAAACTTTTTTAGAATATTCTTCTGGCCAATCGCTAAGCAACGTATTTGCATTATACATCATTGGCAACATACTTAACGGAGCATTGATATCCTCGATATCTATTGGTTGAATAATTTCTTCAGGATCGACGAATTCCGTAGGTCTTGAAAATGTATTGAATTGTGGCTCGGGTACGTTGGAAGTCATCAAAAAAATAGAGCCAACGGAGTCTCCAAAACAAAGACATTGGGACGTAGGTGAGACATCTAACGATGTTATCATTGCTCCCGCAGTAGCTACCTGATATAAGCAAGTTAACGATGGTTGGGCATTGGCATAAATTGTATCGAGTACTTGCATTTGTCCCAATGGCGATACAACGACAACCCTACTCGAAAAACTTGGCAAAAATTTAAGTAATAATGGATAAACCAATGTTTGCAGTGGATTAATTGCTTTCATTTGTCTTAAATCGTAGACCATTAGGAATCGATCGACGGAAAGACCCTGACGACTATTACTAAATCCACAAGTTATTAAATAATTTCCTTGAATATCAAAATCACTTAATGAGCCACTATGAGTATCCAAGACATGTTCCGTAGTCAATGACACTGGATCTTTAAACTCAATTCTTCCATATGCATTGCCAGTGCAAACAAATCGATTATGCTGTCGCAACATTGCGCAACCGCTTTCACCTATATCGACCAAACGTTTCTCTTTATTAGTAGTCAAATCAAAATCTATAATTTTTTCCTGGTGTCCTCCCATTAATATACTCGTTGAAGAATAACATAATAAACATTGCATATCTATCATATTATCGGATGAATATGTATATATTGGTAAACCCCTTCTATTTTGAAATCTTAAGGTATTTTCAGTTAATGCTATAATTCCATTGTCTATGGACCTTATTTGACGAACCTGCTGCTTAGGATGGACTTGGAAAGAAGTATATTTTTGTAAAATAGGTCCATAATAAGATGTTATATGGCCTCCAAGATTTCCAGTCCATATAATTTCTTCAAATGCATCGAAATTTATTGTCGAAACGCCAAAACCATTTCCCGAACTATCAGTAAGTTCATTTCTTGTTTCTCTAAATTCAATGCCAGCAAACTGTTCGCTAAATTGTTCTGCATTTAAGACGGAACTTTCATCGGCAATAAAATTTTCACTTGTAATATTATAATCTGCGTTATTCCACAATAAATTTTCTTCTAAATTACAAGCAACCAAATCAGACTCTTGTACGGCAGAACTATATTCATTAACAGCCGAATATTCCATACTTTTATCAAACAAAACTTTTATATTCTTATTATTAGCAGTTTATATATATATATATATATATATATATATATTAAATATATTCAAAAATATATTTTTATTTGTTTACAGCACTAATGTTATTTTTCCTAGTAATGCTAGCACCATAATAACCTAGAAATAATTGAACAAATAATTTACATTTTAAGCAATTATTTTTATCTACAAATTCATAACTTATTCGCTTTAATTTATTTTTACATAAATATATACATATATATATATATATATATATATATATAATGCAAATAAATTTTCTGAATTCCGTTAAAAATAAAAATACAAATAGACGCTGATCAGCCGATATCTCTAAACATACCTACAGAGTTAAGAACTTTTACCCTCTGCTTGTGCCATTCGTCTATTACAAATTGGATTTGGACTCCACGTTTGGTGATACAAAAAAGACATTAAATAAAATTAAATCAGACAAACTAAAAGCATGATAATGCATTTTTAAACTCAATGATTGGATGATTAAATAAAAAAAAAATTTAATATTTTAAATAAATAATGAATGTCGATTCGAATAGTGTTCTTGTAATGTAAATAGAAAAATTGAACAATAATAAAATGACGTGTAAAAAGCAATTAAAAATAATAATTTTAATATTTTTAATTTAATTTAAAATTAATAATAATTATAAAATATTCTTTTTTCCAACCTTACACGCGCGCGCGCGCGCGCGCATATGCCAAAAAGACAAATGTGTATATACGTTTGGGTAGGTTCCTGCGTACGTGTATGCGTATGCGTGTTCACTTGTGTATGCATAAACATGCAGCCTTGATAAATTCTTAATGAATCTGTATTTTATTTTTTAATTAACATCACTTATAATTTTATTATTATTGATGTGCATATTGTTTTTGTCATTACTTTTATTTTTTATTTTGATAAAATAATATCAAAAATTTAATCTTAAAATTGAATGATATAATAAATTATATTAAAAATAACAAATTTCTATTTATATGTTTTTTTTCTTTCTTTTTCTTAACTTGAAATTACTTTATTATATTAATTAATATTAACAATTCAAAGTTTTCAGATGACTTAAGAATTCCATTCTAGATAACAAAAATATCGATAATATGTACATTTAGACTACTTAGTATTTTAAAATTTATTTGATACATATGTGCAATTTATCATATTTCTTCAACGATGGCAGGATGATAGCTAAAAAGTGTAATTATCACAAATTTAATGATTGGTATAGTTTAGATGCTTGCTCTTCATTATTCATAACCGCTATCAATATTTTCATGAACTCTTCGTCCACTTGAGACATAAATTTATATGGGTTTTTCATATGCCACAAAAATAATGCATTCCATTTTTGTCTTAAGTATAGAATTAATTCGGCAGTCTTTGGGTCAGTTTGAAATACTATCCAATCGTCCAACTTCAGCGTTACATATTTTTTATAATTTCTATTTATTTCTGAACTAGAACTATTATTAGATTCAGATACGGTTTTATAAACTATATCGGTTGGTGATCTAGTGGATCCACTAAATATAGCTACAGTAAGAGAATTGACCAGAGTAACATTTTTAGCTGAACAATACCGTCCACAACGAATCAGTTCTTCATAGAGTATCCATTCGCAAGGTAACGAACTTGCATTCGTTTCATCATACTCTGTGCAATTTTTGTTCAACGATTTTGAAATATCTTTTAAAACTGATAAAGAATGTATGCGAACCTTACTTTCCCTCTCGGTTTTTAGTTGGTTGTTCGTTCGATCGAATCTAATTAAGTTTGGATACAAACCTGCAGTTAAAGCCGCCTTAATAATAGCCCAATTCTTAGAATTTGAATTTAAATAATTAATATCGTTTCGTCCGTTTGGTTTTATAAAACCAGAAATTTTAAGTTGAGTAACGAGCTGATTTTTTATTCCACAAACCATTTCCATAACTGAAAATGAAAGGAAATATTTTTCACAAAATATTTTTTTCTTTGCGTATGTCTGTGCTTTTTCCCACATTTGATAAACCCTTAATATTGCCATATGGTCGGAATAAGAGTTATTTGCAAATTTTTTACGAGCGAGCATTACTTCATGTTTTTTTGTAGGATGAGAAGGTATAATAAATGGGTCCTTATGAGATAAACTGCACACTATTATTAAAATGGGATCGAGACATTTTAAAACAGCCGCGTGCAATAACATTTTCCCTAAACAAGGGTCGATTGGTAAATCAAGCAAATGCCTTCCTAATTCGGTTAAATCTTCCCATGGATCTAATGCACCAATTGTTTTGAGCAACTGAATTGCATTATTTATTACAATGTTAGATGGAGGCTCGATAGCTTTTTCTAAGAATTTAGCTATCGATGTATTGCCAGATGTTAAATGTTTTGTATATAAACAAAGTTGCTGTAATGGTAATCTTAAAATTTCTGGAACTTGATGTAATCTCATATTATTATAACAAATTGAAGAATACATTCGATAACATATACCTTTTTGGCATCTGCCAGCTCTACCAGTACGTTGCTTGGCGCAAGCTTGAGATATCCAATTAGATTCAAATGTACATACACCAGTTATTACATCAAATGATTTTTCTTTTACTTTTCCACAATCAATGACATATACTACATCATTAATTGTTATACTAGTTTCTGCTATATTTGTGGAGAGAATAAATTTTCGACATCCTCTAGGACTGGGCTTAAAAACTTGCTTCTGATCACTAATTTGAGCATTGGAATGAAGTATATATATATTATAATCTTTTTTGTTATTTAGCTTAACTTCTTCAATAATTTTGTTTTTCATATTATTGATTTCGTCATACCCTGGTAAGAATACCAAAATAGAGCCCATAGGCATTTTCAAATGAATATGCAAAATTAATTTTAAAAGAAGGTCATAATTAATATTTTCATCGTTAAATGTGCTATGATATATGTCGAGCAATGCTTTACTATCTTCTGTAATAGATGGTACACTAGCATTTACAAGTTCATCTTCTTGCACTGCACAATCAAGCGCTGCTGTATAAGCTTCTATAAATTCAGCGCATTCTATTTGATTCATATTTCTTGCCCAATCATAGGCAGTCCAATTGTTACAAGATTTGAGATTTAAATTAGCACCAAGATTAACAAGATTCTGTATAATATTTAAATATCCACGACCCGCAGCAATCATTAATGTAGTTACAAAATTTTTTGAATGCTGATAATCCACAGGTACATTCTCTGAACAAATTAAATATAAAATCTGAGTAAATCTGTCTTCTCCTCCAAATAACCATGCATCCTCGATAGCTTTATCTATTTCTTCAATAAACCACGATTCTAATTCAACCTTATCTGAAACGGTTTTATCATGAACAATACTTTGTGCATTGTTTGTAACATCGTTATTAAATCTATTGGATTGATTTTCTGTTACAGATTTTGAAGGATGATTATCATGATGTCCATAATTTTTTAATTTATTTTTCATTTTTAACATTTCCTTTGTGAAGTAATTAGTCATTTGTAAAACATCTTCTAAATAGTAAATATCAACTTCATATAATTTTCCAGGAATCCTAATTATTGGACAGTTATAAAAATATTTAGAAAATATAGAAGTATCGATGGTTGCACTCATTAAAATAACTTTTAAATGTTTATATATAACAAGAGCATCCTTTAAAGCAATTAATAAAAAGTCACACAACCTGTCTCGCTCGTGAACTTCATCTACAATTACATGAGTTATTCCCGATAGCGGAGAATCTTCGCTTATTAAAGTTCTTAAAAATATACCATTAGTACAATAAGTTAAAAGCGTTTTTGAAGAAACTTTAGTTTCTAGTCTTATTTGATATCCAAAAGTTTCTCCAATCTTTTCTGACCTTTCAAAAGCAACCCTCTCAGCCACCGAGATAGCAGACAATCTTCTCGGCTGAGTGCAAATTATCTTACATACTTGATTTCTTTCTTGGCAAGACTCTAAAATAAATTGAGGGATTTGCGTTGTTTTTCCACAACCTGTTTCTCCTGCAATAATAACTACCCTATTGGAATCTATTATATGTAAAATCTCTTCTCTTTTAGATGTTACGTTCAGTGATTGACGAAAATACAATAAATCAAAATTAACTTTTAATCGAGGTACTTGTAATTTACTTTTAGTTAATGGTTTCATTAATACATTAGGTTGTATCATTGATTTTTTATCAATTTTATCAGTCTTATTTCTTTGGATAGGTGGTAATAAATCTTTGCGTTCCGCGTCACTTAGAGGAAAATAATTGATGGAATTGTAAATTAATATCTTAGACGAATCTTGTAAAGTAATAACATCGTTTGTATGAATCAATGTCTGGCCATGGTGTTTGTATAGGATTAAAAATCGATTTTCATTGTGACCATGACTTTTGGACTTTAAACCCAATTTGATAACTAATTTGTGAATATAAGCTCTTTCATCGACATTGTAAATTGGAGGTAATTTTAATTCTTTTTGATCAGCTGCTTCCATGAAGTTTTGAACAATAGTATTAATGGCAATTTTCTTATCTTCAACAACATTAACTTGTTTACATTTACGTCGTGACATTATAATTATTTATAAAAAAGTGTTCGTAATACTGAATTGTAAACTTAAGCAAACTGCTCCTATAAAAAAAATCTGTTAGAACGTGTTTGAAGTTGTGGATTTTACTACGCGGAGAAGAAGGTATTATATTTCAATCTACGTAAATTACGTATTTTCCGTTATACGCATACAATACCTCTCTCAAAACAATAAAATTTCAAGCAGAAAACTTAAAAAATTCATTGAGTTTAATGGTGCTTTAAACGAATAAATTCATTACAAATTGCATTATAAGAATAAGATATTTTAAACTCTTTACTTACTCTTATTGATAATCGTTGAATAAAAAAGCATAAAAACAACATAAATTACTGATTCGTATATAGTATATGTTAATAACGTTATTCGGCTTATATTATATAATTTACTTATCGTAATAGATGCATAGGCACATTAATGCGTGCGCGTGTGCGCGTTTGCGCGTGTAATGCGAGCGCGTGGCTCTGTGCCATTGCACGTGTCCTTAATGCAAATATCAAATAAAATATAAAATACAAAATAAAATATAAAAGTACTATGAAGTTTATTAAAATAGTCAATTTTATTTGTAAATTTGTTTGACAAACTTTAATTGTCATTTTATTAGTAACAGATTAATGATTTACTATTACTTCTTTCAAAAGAAGAAAAAGAACAATGACGATGAAGAAAATTAAATGACAAGTTTTTTTTTTTTTTTTTTTTTTTTTTTTTTTTTTTTT